TATCGAACAATTTATCTTCACTTTTGAATATTTAAATGTGCTTCTTTATGCACGTGTTTTGATCTATTTCAGTTTTAAAATGTGTTGTATAAGTGTTATACTCGTTTATTACACATATAATTTATTTGTATTATTTTATTGTTTTTCACAATTGCTTTATTAGATAAATGTTTTAATTTAGTGATTAATTTAATTTGACCTGTAATTTACTACATGAAATATGATTTTAAAAAAGACAACTAGCATGAATGATATGCTTCTGATATATTCAGAGTAACTAAAATGTCTAAAATCATTTCCATATGACTAATTATTCTTAATAATATGTTTTATATGATTTATTTTTTCTGACCTTAAGTGTTTTCAGTGATTTAATGTATTATTCTTTGTTTGAAAAATAAGTTAATAATTTATTTTCAATGACCAAAAATTTAGACTTTAGGTTAAAAAAATTACAAAAGCATTAATCACTTTTGTGGAATTACAAAATTATTGTAGTGAAATTAATATATGATTAATTTTTGCTGTTGAAAATTCTGAGTTCATCTTTTGTCCACAATATTTTGCTGCGACCAAAATTAAGGTCATTAAAAGAATAACTAGAGGCAGTTGGAAAGAAATATATACTATTTTTCATTACTTTTTAACAGAGACAAAAGTAACTTTCATCTCGTAATTTTTATTGAAAAAAATTCAGAGTTCAGCCGTATTGTTATTTGTTTAATTTTTGTTATGGAATTTAAAAAACATATATATTATCTTTCAAATAAGTTTAGTGTTAATTTTTATTCTACGTACACATCCACGTAGAGCACTTTTTATTTCACAAATTTAAAATTTTTATCCGCTTCTCATTATTTTTTAATCACTGACTTGCTCATAATGAGCCACTTGCTCTATTTTTCATTTCTAATTATTACTTCAAAAAAAGAAAAAAGACTGCAACAAATTAGTAAAAGTTTTGCATTGCAAATAGAATTCAAAAAACCAAAATTTTCTATTCATTTAATAGTTTTATCATCAAAATCAAACTAGAAATTCGAATAATAAATTCTTTTTGAATCAAAATGTCTCACATTTAATTTGAGCAAATACAAAATTGCTAATTTTTCGAAAATGTAAATAAAATATTTTTTTCTTTTTGCTTAAAAAATATGTGAAGAAAATTTTTCGTCACCTCAATGCAATTACAAAAATATAAAACTTATCTTTATTATTCATCAAATTAGTATTTTTCGTTTTTCAATTTAATAATTTCCAATTCTATCAATTATTGTTTTTGCAAAAGTTAGCGCTAAAATTTGTTTTTAAAATATAAATATTTGCATAATAGTATTATTCGCCAAGCCAATACTTATTTCGTTGAAAAAAAAATGAAAAATGCGAAAATTTTGTTGTCTGTAATTATTTTATCGAATATTCTCGCAAACAAATTGTGAAAATACGTTTTTTTTTTAAAATAAATTTATTCAAAGTATTCATAATTAGGTCAATTTATATGCATACTCGGTTATTAAATATCACTGAAAAAATATTACATTAAAAAAATGAAATAAATTCTCAAAAAATGATTAATTTTAAAAATTGTTTTGGCTAGCATACAAAATATTTTGAAAAAAAAACTGCTTGTGAATGATTCATTCATTCACTTATTCATTCATTCCCTTATTCATTCAATCATGATTGTTGTCATGGAAGTAAAAGTCATTACCACGATTACAGCTACTATCAATATTTATTATTTATACTAATATTGATATTGTTCAAGTTCTAAAAAATAAAAGTTACAATACTAAAATCGTAAATACTATGAGTCATTACTTACTTTTGCTGCTATGACTCATTGCTAGCAAAACTTTTAGCAAAAAAATTTAAGTTATATAAGAAAGTTATTCAACAGCCAGACACTTTTACCTTTAATCCTTTCCACTTTCGTGTTACTTATTTTTACTTACTAAGGCAGAAAATAGTTTGTATAAATACTTGAAGTATTTCTACTTTATTTTATACTTGGGTTCATTTTCATTTTCTAACTAAAATGTAAGCAAAGATTATTTTACCCTTTACACTTTACCCTTTAACCTATTTTTAAGTTTGAAATGATTATTTCCTTACAATTAAAATACTTTTTGCAAGTTTTTCCAACACATTTTGAGTATTTAATTTGTGTGCTAACATTATTTTTGTTTTCAATTCACAAAACACATTCTAAAATATTTCTAATATATTTGCTACATTTCATCGTCATAAACAATTTTTCATTGCCTTTAAGTGCACAGAAGCAATGAACAATTATATTTTCGTTAAATAAAACTTTTTTAAATACAAAAAAATATGCGAAAAAAATAAAAAATTTTAATAGTTTTTTTAGTATTGTACAACTTACCGCTTCATTTTTGTATCTAAAAAACATAAAAAAGCTTTTTAAAAAATTTAAAAAATTTAAAAAGTTCGAACAATTTTTAGAGATTAAAAGGAATCTTAAATAAATAAAGTAATTAATTCATTTCTAAGCATTTTTTATTATTTCAAATATTCTAAATTAAATTATTCTTTCTCACAATTAAGTTCAAAATATCAATCAAACTTGTTGTGCTATTCTGTAGTGTAACTTTGGCAAATATTTGTTTATAATTATTCTTTCAATTTTGACATTTTTAAACTAATTCAATTCAATTCAATTCATTTATTTATTTCATTCTTTACTTTTTATTTGCTCAATTATTTATTCTTTTTTTTTTTTGATTGAAAAGTTTACTTTTAAAAGTTTTTGTAACAATTCAATTTTGCTTTTTCAATTTTTCTAATTTTTTTCACCACAAATTACAGCAACTGCTTTTAATTGTATACTGAAATAGAAAAAATGAAGCAATTTTTTTCCTACTAAAAAGTTATTGTATACTTATCCATTTATTTTTTGATATTTCAGTAAAATATTAATTAAAAAGTCAGAAAAACAAAAACATTACACATTTATATTGTTGTTATTAGATAGTTTTTTTTCATGTTGGAATTAATATTTTTGGAATTTGAATTAATTCTTTCTAATTTTTCTAATTTTAAAACTGCTAAAAAATTGTAATACATTAAATTGCAAACTATTTTATAAGTGCTTGTGGATAATTTTCCACTGTTAAACTTAATTTTTTAATTAATTGGATGAAAAATTTTTTGTAAGTAAAACAATTCAAAATTATTTAATTTACATTGAAATTGAATAAATTTCACACCGAACTTAAATATAATTTTATATTTAATAAATTAATCATAATTTTTATAAAATTTACATTATTTTTCAGAAAACAACATTTTTGTTTATTTATCTGAATTTTATCTACAAAATTTAGCTTTAGTATTTATTTACTATTATAAATTAAAAATAAGCATTGCAAGTAATGTTTTCTTTATCTGATGTATTTGATTTTTCTCAGCTGATTTTGTGAAAACTTGAAATACAAAGTATTGTAAATAAGATTATCTATTAATTCAATTTAATTCTTCAATCATAATATCAAACATGTGATGAGACTTCCATTTAAAATCATAAGTTTGCTGCGTAATTTTCTTTTAACAAATATGTAGTTTTTGATCACTGAAATAACTATAAAAATATTGGAAAGTACGAATAACTAGATTACTTGATTTAATTTATAATAATTAGTAATACTTTATTTTTACTTTTTGAAAAGTATTTTTGCAATTAATTTTATTAATTCTTTAAAGTTTATTTCAAATTTCTGGCATTCATATTTTTATTCATATTTTTAATTAATATTTCCTAAAAGTGACATTTAAAACAAAGCAATCAAAACTGCAATCTAAATTTTCAGAAGAAATTTTTAATTTTTTTCAAATTTATGTAAATTCAATTTTTGAATTTCTTTTTAGACCAAAAAAAGTTTACAATAAACAGTCTCCTTCTTCTTCAAAAAAAAATAGACTCAGCAAATATTCATTTATTTTCTAAAAGAAGAAAAAACATTTCCGTCTTATTTAACGTCATGTAATTACGTGTTTTACGGTCTATTTGACGTAAGGAATTCAACTGCTAGATTGAATCAAAAGTGAGAGCAAAAAAGAGTTAATGACGAGAGAACGAATTTGGTAATAACTAATAAATTGCAATTTTTTTTCTAAAAAATTGCTGACTTTTATGGGAAATATTCAAGAATTTAGTTATTTTTTCTGTTTTTCTACTTCACTCTGTCAAATTTAATTTTCATTTAATTTAAAAAAGTTAATTTCCAATATTGTGTGCTTATTTCTTCCATTTTTGAAAATTTTAAGGCTGTTTCGTTGACAAATAAATAAATAACTAATTAATTAATTAAATACTTTTCATTTTCAAAGGTATTTCATTTCTTAATCACAATTCTATTCTCAATGTTTTTAGTTTTTAGCTATTATTTACAAGTTTTGTATGGTACCTTTCGAATTTTAACTTTGAAATTGTATTTTGCAGAAAAAAAGTTCAAAAAATATATTTTAAAAAACGGTCCAAATTCTAACAGAGAAGGCAAATAAAAATAAATACATTATGCTTAGACTCCAATTCTGTTGATAAAATTTTATAATTTAAACAAAGTGTACGGTATCTTTGTACGATTACTACAGTTGCATTTCTTTCACTTTTGTAAGCTTCTCTTATAGAATGTAAAGTTTCTGAAGGCTTTAAAATTTTTATTAATTTTAATAAATTATTGAAACTGACAAAAATTTTAAAAAAATACCACAAGTTTTATAAATTTAATGAAACATTGTTGGTTAGAAGAAAAGAGCAGTGCATGAAAATTTTTAAATTTATACTGTTATTTAAAATTATTTTATCTTAAAATTTATTTCTGTCTAAGTATGATTAATGCCTCATGCTTTGATGATAAGTCGAATGTTAAAAGTATGATTGATGATTGCTTCTCTGCTTATTTATCTGAAGCTATTTTTTTATAAAGATATCGAACGTGACTTTCCGTGACCTTTCAACAATTATTGCGAAAAAAAAAATGACTCTCGTTGAGCGCGAACGGCGTGATGAAAATCGTGAAATGTTACGGTCTCGTAATTCCTTTTGGGAAGATGATCAATGGTACCATGATTGGGACGATTGGCCTGTAGATTGGCCTCGACCTGGAGAACTTATGCGAAGAGTAAGCTTTAAACACCTTATATGAGTTGAACTCGTCCAACTTAAGCATAAACTATTATTATTAATATCTTTTAGAACTTTGTCCTTCTAAATTTTTGCTTTTGTTTTTTAAAAGTAAAAACGAAAAAATCAATAATAAAGAAGTATTAATAATAATTTTCAAAAATATTGACAAGAATTGATTTACTAAAAGTATTAACTTATTATAAAACAATTTTGCACAAAAACAATTCATCCATTTTTTTAAATTCATTTTTAAAAAAGCAAAAATAAATATTTTTTTATATTCAGCAAACACTTTTACATTTGATTTGCACCTCACAATACCTTCTAAAGTATTATTTAAATAAAAGTTTTGTATACCAAAAAATTATATCGATGAAAACATGTTTGTTAGTACATCACTGGCAGCTATACAAACTTGCCATACTTGTGTGATTCATTTTTAAATTTACTTTATAACTTTGAACTTTATTATTTGATTGATTAAAAATAATAATAATTGAGTGGTTTTATTTATTTATTTATTTATTGATAAATTTTATGTTTTTTCTTTTTTGCACAAATTACAATTTATCTTTTTTTGCACTAAAAGATTATTACTTTTTTAATTTTTATTCTGGCCTTAAATCAATATAATTTATAATAAAAATTGAATTTTTAAAAATTATTTCTTGCATTTAAAATTATATATTTAAAAAAATAAATAAAACTAATCAATTTTAAAATTATATATTTTAAATTTGAAAAAAGTTCGATAGCATTAATGTCTCAGTTTTAAAATTATATATTTAAAATTAAATATTTTTAGTTTGAATAAAAAAGTTCGATAGCATTAATGTTCTATTTCATTTTTACAAAAGATTATTTAAAATAGGGAAAAAACTACCATGAAAATTACCATAACATTTCTTTTGAAAATGTCATAGTATTCAGAAGTAATCTCTCGCAGTACCTTTCGTTCTGTTTCATTTCACTCTCGAAAAATTCTTCAATGATTCACTTCTCGAACAAACTTTTGTATTGCTACAGTTATATCTGTTTCTTCCTGTAATCCTGGTGCTACTACTTTCATTGATAGTAAAAATAGTTTAAATTACTACTAAATTATTTTAGTGTTATCGTTATTATTATAGTAAGGATAATAATATCCATCCATAATTATTTCAGTCATTAAAATTGGTAGAAATATGGCGATAAAATTTAATTGAAATTATTTCTGGTACATTTGAATATTTAAATATTATTTCAGTTGACTGCAATATTATAATATTGCCAAGGACATTAATATTGATATCATAATAATAATAATAATAATAATAATAATAATAACTTAGATTTGACTAGAAAAATTATTATTAGTATTAAAAAAGATGATTACAGATATTGTTACAAGCTATACTTGAATAATGAAAGTAAGCATGCTTTTACTTTATATAACTTAATAACTGCAAGTAAATAAACTAAATTAAATTAAGCCTGAGTTTGTATTCGCAAGTTAAATGTAAAAACTTTCATATAAGTATACAAGCAAAACCTGGCTTAGTTTAAATTTACTTGCAGTATTATTTAGTGCATGTAGATTATAATTGGCCACCATGGGTTGATGTACATTCGTTCTAAAAATTTATGCAATAAACTGGTTTTGGTTAATTGATAAATACAGATTGACATAAATTTCGGGATGAGTAAATTTAAAATCAATAAAATTTCTTGAAAAAGTCAAAGAGCTAAAAGTTTGATTTTCACTTTTTGAAACGAAAATGCCACATTTATATTTTTGTAGTCATAGCAATATTTCAAAGCTGTAGAATGATGCAACAGTAATATAACTATTTGACTTCAAAAAATACAAAAATTTGGAAGTTTTAAAAAATTATTGTCAATCATCGGATTATTTCAACAATGAGCAAAAAAGATTTTCAAGAAATTGTAGTGGTTGAAAGAATTTAGAAAAGATTACATATTTTTTGAATTTTTCTTTCACAAACTTTAAAAACTATTTTTGAATTTAAGTTTAAATTTTATCGTTTTTTCATATTTGAATTTAATCAGTATGTTTTAGGTCATTCATAATAATATCGTAATTTCAGTTCATTATGAAGAAAATGTACTTGTGAATAATAATTTTCAGTGGAAAATTGAATGTACAAATTTTCTTTTGCTAAAAATTTTAATAAATTGTATTTTTTCTTTTGTAATCAATCATAATTCATTGTATATGCATAGATCATATGGCTCATGGTACTAAGTAAGTATTTCATGTCTCAAATTTGGAGTTGAGAAGAAATAAAGCTAAAAATAAACTTAGATCATAATTTATTTTTTTATGCCTTATTAAGAAATAACCCAAATTAAGCTTGAATTCCAACTTTTCCAAAATTAATATTTTGTAAGAAATTAAAGTGCAGCTTTGCAGAACTAAATAAGTAAACGAAAAATTGCATATTTAAGTTTGCCAAGCAGTAAATCCCCTTTTGGACGAAAATTTTTGCACACATTTTAAACTATTTTAGTCGTTCATTTCTAGATTTCATTTTTAAAATTTTTCTCACATTCAAGCTAAAATATACTTCAGATTTTTTGAATCTTCTTCAAATCTCAACAAAATACATTCTTAAGAGTTACAGGAGAATTTCACGTAAATATAACCCTTCGTGAAATTCGTATAACCTAAAAGCTTTCAAGTCAAAAAATATTTTAAGACAGCTAGTAAGAACTCAAAACTCTCTTAAAAACAATTTTTCCAATTTCAAGACTGCTTTAAGAAAATTTTTCAAAAATGAAATCTTAATCTCCTTTGGTACTCTTGACCTTTCAACTTTTCCAGTCATTTATAATCCTATATTTTTCTACCTCACAATTTCATCTTAAATCATATAGTTTGCATCCTTTCAAGTCTAAGAACTTGTTGACTTCTTTTTAGAAGTATATATATATATATCTCTTCGTCAAAAGTTTTATCTTTTTTGCACACCTTTCCACTATTATCCGTCTTACTGTCTTGAGAAAAAAATAATAAAATCATTGCAATTTTATATTAAGTATTTAAATAATACTATTCTGTAAATTTCATTGGAAAATTACTAAGACTTATATTAACTTTGAAAACTATCATTACTATCATAATTATCACAAATGCATATTTAAATACAAATCCGATAAAATTTTAGTCTGTTAAATTTTTTTTTTTAAATTAAGTATACACTTAATTTAGTCTCTCGTCGATTCTCAACTTTTGTATTTATATTTGAATTATTGCAGCAGATGTTATATTATTTTATACTTGCAAATAAATATTTGTTTTCATTATTTCCATACATTTGTCATTTTTATTTGCTTTTGACATAAACTTGCATTTATATCCATTTGACATTAAGCATTTCTAAGTGTTTCTTTAAATATTTAATTTAAACTTTATTAATGATGTCTTAATAATTTACTGAACAATTTATTGTTAAGATATACGTCAAAAGGGGGAAAAACCACTTCATTTGCATATTGATCAATCGGAAAAAGTAAAATTAATATCTTTTGTCAAATTTTCACTTGTAATTGACTGACATGCACATGCACATGCACACACACGCACATACACACGCACACACACACGCACACACACACACACACACACACACACACACACACACACAAATACACAAACAATTAAATATGCAAAGAATCAATGATTTATTCTGTGGGCAATATTATACATAAATTGCTTCCATTTTGGGAAGTATAAATGACATCTCTTACTCTTCTCTGTGAACTATTTATCCGTACTGTTTTTTAGCCAGAATAAAGTTAAAATTATTTTGTCAATATTCTCGTAATTTTCTGCGATTTATATCCCTGAATGCGAATACACGCGAATACATTTGAGTGTATTCGCATTAAGGGAAAAAATAACTTAAGGGATATAAATCGCAGAAAATTGTTTTAGTTTGTGTTTCCTTGCAAAAAATTGCTCCTAAAAATTTGTTAATTAATTAAATTGTATAAAATAAAAGTAAAAATTTAGCATTATTAAAGTTTGAATTAACGAAACGAACCTTTTTTATGTATAATTCAAATTTAAAACCTCAAAAAATTATTCATAGAAGAAATGACTGCTATTTCAATTTAATAATAGTAATTACTACTTCATTCTGAATGTTTTGTTACTAATTGTTATCTCAATTTGAATATTTATTCAGGTTTTTAATCCAAAAAAAAAATCATTCAAGAAAATAAAGCAAAAAATAAATATTGTCCAGTGATAAACATTTTTTTGAAGTAAAAATCAAGCATACTAGAAAATTTACTTGCATTTGTTGCTAATTTAAGTTAGCGTCAAATAGTAATAACAATAAGTAAGCAAATTTTGGTCAAAAGGTTACGTGTTACCTCAATCATTATTCACGGATACCAGCCAACATTGTTATTTTGCAAGTTCACGTTTTTTAACGTCTTTTCACATATTTCAGTGGAGATCTGATTTTGATAAGGACGGTTTTTGGGATTGGCCATCACATTGGCCTCGAATGGATGACGTGATGCCAAGAGTAAGCTCTCGCTTCAATTACAACAAAATTTTTGAGATATGTATAGATTTTAAGTATTTTTTGCTAGATTAATTAAATAATACTGCAAAAAAAAAAGTAGAATTAAGAAAAATTGTACTCCACGTGGAGTACCATATCACTAGAAAAGAATTGTGACAAAGCAATATGCGCATATAGTATAAGTATTACTGTAGATAAAAATACAAGACGATGAATTAGGATTTGACTGATTTTTAGCGTGACTTAAATTACTTACGTTAGCTGAAAACAGAAGTAAACTTAAAAAGTATCAGATCAAATCTTTTAGTCACTTTTATCAAGAGTTATCTCATGTACCCATAAAAACTTGTTAAATTTGTTATTGAATTTTATTTTTTCTAAGATATCACTCTCAAATCGATAACTGCGCAAATAATACTTGAAAAATCAGTGCTACCATTAAGATTTTATTGATATCTCGGCAATACTTTCTAAAATTACAAAATGATAAGAACAATCCGAAAGTAATAATATTCGTACACCAATAATTCTAAAATCATAATAATGCTTGCAGTTTTCCTCACATCTTGATCGTTTGGATCGTAACTGGCGTTCTGATCCGTTTTGGCGTGACTTATATCCACGTTGGGCTGAACCAATTTTCAAAGAAGGCATTGATATTCGTACAAATATCATTAACGATACTTCACGATTTGCCGTGGAAATTGATGCATATCAATTTCGACCAGAGGAGATACAGGTTATTAAATTTAATTCCTCATTTTATTATTGTAAATGATTTTAAAAAACTATGAATAATAAAGTTTGAGGACTGGAACACATGCTGAAATTTAAAATCTAGTCTTGAAGCACCAAATTTGCACGACTAGAGAGTTCTATAGTACTAATGATATTTGGCATTTCTTAATTAAAATTTAATGGCTTATTTTAAGGCAATGATTTTAAAATTTAGAAATATTCTATACTTGAATTAATTTTGACGACTTATTGATTTAGGTTAAAACAATTGACGATACACTGCTGATCGAAGGCCGGCATGAAGACGTCCATGATCGTGACAACTTTACTAAAATGTATTTTGTGCGCAAATACCAGTTACCATTAGATGTGAATCCAGCAGATATTTCAAGCACCATTGATAATTCTGTTAGTTTGCTGATAATTCTTAAATGAAATTACCTTCAATTTAATATCAGCAATTTTTTTATTCATTATTTCCGAAATTATGCAAGGAATGAAACACTAAAAAAGCAATAATTTTTGAAGTTTGCTTCTATAAATGAAAATAAATTATAAAATGAAATACAGTTCATTAAGTAGTTGATTAGTACTAACCAAATTTGAGTGACGATTACAGTTTGTACTTCACACCTGCGCAACAACAAGTGTATACTATTGAGTGGAATAACTTTACATTCCTTTTCATATAATTTTTGTTATTGCTTTCCTTGCAACAAAACTTTATCAAAAGTGGTAATCTGATAACAAAGTTCTTGAAAATTGAGAATTTTTGAAATTTAACATCCATTTCATACTTGAACGGTAGTTATAGAATATCATTCACAAACAGAAAAATAAAATTGTGCTTAGAATTCCGGCCGAAAAAATTTTATTTAAGGGTCGTCTGCTTGTTGAAGCACGCAAGCAATCACATATTCAGGGCCGAGAACGAATGATTCCAGTTGAAGGCCCGTCACGTCGAGAAACACATTTATCACGAAGTGAAAATACACGAAGTCGTGATGAATCCGGTCAGTTATTAAATTTTTTTCGATAATTCCATTAAATCATTCAAAAAAAGAACTAGTAACTATAGAGAAAGAAATACTTGGTTTAATTAGTAATGTGAATCTTCTCCCTATATCCAGTTTGTTCAGAAACTAATTCATAGTTCTCTAATTAGTTTATAATTTCATGAGAGAATAATTTTTTTGAAAAATTTTTTTGCTAGGATGGTACGGATCACGTAAGCAACAACTACCACCAACACCTCCAACAACTGCGCATCGATCACATAGTTCATATTCTTATCAACATAGTCGAACAACCAGGGGTGGATCTCCCACTAGTACTTATCGCGAACGGGGAATCCCAATCACACAAACTGGACTGTCTTCTCGAAGTGTTGATAGCAAAGCTTCTGGTAAAGAATTCTTTGACAAAATTTCACAGACATGTTAAGATTAAAAAATCGACTAATTTTCACTGAAGCTGAATTAATGACAAAAATTGTAGTTCTAATAGATTAAATATAACACCAATTATTGCAAATAAATAATATGAATTTTAATTATACTTCTTCCGATTCTAATATTATACAATTAATGACAGCAAGTTTCATGTTATTTTTCGTACATCTAAAATATCCGATGATTCAAAATTTATTGCTAGAATTGTTACAGTTAGATTTCGAAAAAAAAACACTTACTTGTCACTAATGATGAGTGTTAAAATTTTTCAGAAGAATTTCGTTCCCGAGAAAAACGTGAACGTGAGGAGTACCGTTCTGAATCAAAAAATGAATATCGTAGTCAGTCTTCAAGACAAGATAGTGGATTTCATGATGGTGGTTCTACAAATGCAAAACCAAACAATGGTGCTGCTGCACGAAGTAATGATACACAATCTGACAGCGTCCGTAATATTCCGATCCTCCGAAAAACTTTCAAATAATTTGCAAAAACTGAAGTTTATAGAACTAACAAATATGCTTATAAATAAATAAAAGTAATGTCTTATATTTTTTGAAATTATTCTCCATAAAAAATTAATTCTTTATCCATTACTTTGTTTTCAGATAGCCAATACTCGATACATTGATATTTTTGAAAATGCTTCTACTTGTAATTTCAAATCTAAAATTCAAAATAAATCATTTCCTGAACACTAAATTTGGAATTACGAATAAACCACCAAGTGTTATGGAATTACTTAAAGAAAATTTTTGAATAATGGACTGCTTTCATAAATGCAAATAAAAAAACTTTATCTAAAAACCCTGAGAAATCAATAAAACTTCGGGAAAAAATATGCCATAGAAAGTCCGTAGATAAGTATAATCTTAGCATCCAAGTTTTGAAGTGAATGGTCCTACACAAATTTTAAAGACAGAACTTCGCGTCAATTTGTGGCACTTTGTATCAATTATTGGCAGTTACACCACCTTTAACAAATAATGTTTTTAAATTTACTAAAAATTTTTTTCCCAGAACCGTTTCCCGCAAAGGAGAATTGTATTTCCGTATATCATACTCTATATTTCAAGCCGTATGCATAGACTCTTATTCTTGAGTACTAACATTTACATTGGTAGCTACGCGATTAAAGATATATGACCGAATAAAATATGTAATCGCAATTAAACATGTGTTCTTTGTCGTGCCCTATAGTGGTTTCGTAAAATGTGTGGAACTATACGGTCACGACTATCAATATGAGATGACAAATATGATAAAAGAGTCCAAACAATTTGCAAGTAGGCAATAGTTTCAAACTGATGAGAGCCATCTTAAAAATATATAGAACTCTCTGGTATATTTGCCAAGTAACTCGACTAAAACTGAATTAGATGTGCAAAGGTATTTTTCGGAGTTTTATTTATTACATGTACAGACTGTATAGAGCAGATGAATCTGAAGTGAAATCTTAGATTTTAAAACATTCCACAAGACTACTACAAACTATGTCATATTATTATTTTAAACTACTATAAACTATGCCACAATAACATATCCTTCGTTTATAGAAGTAGTACCTTAACAAAGTTTAAACATAATATCTAAATAATGAAATAACATAAAGTTCTATGCTTGAAAAACGCAATTTACACAAGCTAAAGGAGGAACACTATGCAAAAAGCAATATGACCATTATGCCATGAGGTATCCATAAGTACCAAATATATAACGCACACGTCAACTTCATACAGTTTTCACTATACGATAGAAATGACTAGCTTGACTCAAATATAAACAGATATCTTAAAGAAATTTTCGTGAAGCAGAAGGAGCAAAACGCGAATTCAGTTGTCCACAACGTTCTTTAATAGACTCTCCACTTAAATCTCCCATCCGGCTAAGAGTATGGTGCTGAAAATGAGATCCAGCAATCTGGTATATAAAGAGCATTTCTAGATTTCATTTTCAAAATTTTTCTCACGTTCAAGCTAAAATATATTTCAGATTTTTTGAATCTTCTTCAAATCTCAACAAAATACATTCTTAAGAGTTACAGAAGAATTCCACGTAAATATAACCCTTCGTGAAATTCGTATTAAAAGCTTTCAAGTCAAAAAGTATTTTAAGACAGCTAGTAAGAACTCAAAACTATTTCAAAGCCTTTCTTCTAACGATTTGTACAATATCTGCCAGACTTCAAATAAACAAACAAAAACAAAGTATGGAATTAAAAAAAATAACTAACATCCATATCCTTATTTCGATCGAATGGACGACGCGCTGCTACATCCTAAAGATAAAAGCTCTATATTTTAAAATTCATTGCAGTACATGAAAGCATTTGATTCCAATAATACTAGAAATTTTTTTACTATTACAAAATGAATTTATAACGTATACAGCCAAATAATAATAGAGAAGCAAAGAAATGTGTAGATTTAAGATTTTTAACTTACATTTTCACCACTTTCGAGCTTTCGTTTTCGTTGGTGAGCATCTAGTAATGATTCTACACGATTATTCTGCAAAAAAAGCTAAAAAATAGAATGTTTGATAGCTAAATGTACTGATACCAAGAAGTAAAAAATCAAATGAAAGTGAAATAATTTTGTAAAAATCCTTATAATAAAAAAAAACAAGTGAAGAAAGAAAATTACACACTTCGAAAACTGCAGCACGTTGAGCTTGAATAGCATCAGAATCTTTGTTATGTTTGGCTTCAAGCGAGAACCTACTAGGTCCTGCAGTACTCTGACCATCTTGCTCCTGCATTAATTCATAAAAATGATACAAATTAAATAAAATTAAAATTCTAGAGAAAAAAAATAAATCAAGCTCCTACTTAATGAAAGAACTGAGAGTATAACTGATCAATTATTTCAATTCTTAAGCACGACTATACAAACCCATCTTTCTTGAATTGAAAAGTTTTAGAAGATTACCAACGCTAATCGTTTTTCTCGTTCTGATGGAGTTTCCGTCCATTCACGTTTTGCTGCACTATCCTCACTTGAGTGGCATTGTCTTGAAAATGCCCTCTGACCTATACCAGAAACACAGAAATGCTTTGGTGGCTGTGTCATCCATTCCGGTCGCTTATTCGTAGTAATCTTAAAGAATGAGTGCTAATAATTGAATTGACCCCACGCGAAAATATTTGAATTTAATTAATTATTTAGTTACCTTCTTAACTTGTTCAGCCTCAAAACGAATTAACCTTTCTGTATAATTATCGTCCTCATTTCCTCTTTGTTCCCAAGGAGGAACTGGACCTAAATACTACAAGATACTCATTCAATCTCTTTGCCAAGATTAAAAAATGAGAAAAAATATTAAGCGGAAATAAAATTGATAAACAAAAAATTTGACTGATACGTTTCAGATAACAAAGTTCAGAAAGTAAAAACACAAACCAAAGATACCATCGTTGTCACAATCATTTTCATGACCAGAAGCATCATCATCAACAGGTACTTCCACGTCGAAATCTTTTCCACTTGATGTAGATGGCTTATTAAGTAAATGCGGTACAGATGGACCGTAAACATCTCTGCTATCTTCATCATCATTCTGGAATTAAAATCATTATTAATAAGTGTATTCCAAGATCATACAAATAAAGACAAGATTAAGTGATTTAGAAGGGAAATTTTCAAAAACTAGATATATCATGAACAGACAACAGAATTTGCAACTGTTGGAAGCAGATCTGGTATTGATGGACCGAGTATTCTCTTCAGCGAATAACTTACACTTGAACATCGTGAGTCGCTCGGTTCTGGAGGTGGTAACAAAAAAGTCTCTGCAGTAAGAGAAAATTATAAGTTTCTCTTTTAAAAATAATTTCGTGACGAAAATTCAACAGTTCTTGACAAATTTGGTGAGGAAACTTTGTAATCAAGTACGAAACTCTCTAATAATTCAGAAAAAACTAATTAAGCAGAATGCTAGATTCACCACGAAAACGTTTTATTTCATCTTCCGGTAAAGAGGGTGCAAATGATTCCAATACATTTTGTACAGTAGAATCACAAGAACAAAGTTGACTAGATGACGATGGAAGGTCACTCGACCATGTTAACTGTGCTGCAAAATGATACTCTCTTCAAATTACTCAAATAATAATAGTTAACAAAAATCCTGGACTTGATTTACTTACGAATCGAGCTCATGCTTGGCATAGCAGGTTGAGAATCAGTTTCATCCGGATCTTCGGGATCGCCAGGATCTTCCGGATCATCTTCACTGTTGTAGGAAAAGCCAGGTGGTAAAGAAGGACCTATAAAAAAATTCAAAAACGAACTAAAACGAATCAAATATTAAATATATGAATACTTTTTTTCCAAACAAAAAATACCGTATGGCTGATCATCTAATGAAGATGTGATTCCAACTTCGTACACACTGTTCGGTAACTGATCAAGATATGAAAGTGAATTACTGCTTTGAGTTATACGTCCTTCATTGATGGTTGATAAAACTTGATTCGCTGATACACCAATACCTTGAAAACACTACTTTTTTATACTGACTTTCATGTAAATTTTGGAGCGTATACTTCAATACTTTTATCACCGTCTAAAAACTGAAGTATTACATTTTTAGAGTCATTGAATAACTAATTTTTAACAAAGTAAATTATTAATGCGAGACCAAATTAAAACCTGAAGATGCCACAAAATCGTGATTTATAGAGCGGAAGAGATGGTCACCAACTTCATGTTCTGAACCACTATTATAATCCAGTTCCTCCGAACGGTCAAACTCATCCCATGATGGTGCCTGAACTGTGCAATCTGATGGCAAACGAGGTGAAGACATCACCTGGAATACAAATAATACCCCCTTTTTAAACATTTTTTAATTTATATGCATCAATAACTGAAACTTATTTTGAACTTGTGCAAATTTTATAGCAATCCCGCGATCAATATATCAATATGAAGCAACAAAATATTCTTAATCTAATAATAACAATTGTAAATTCCAATACTAAATCACAATATGATGATAAAGGCATTATGTTAATCCTCAGAAAATAATTCGTCTCAAAAAAATGGCAGGAGTACATGACCATAGTCTGTAGAATTCGCTCAACTTATGAAATTAACGACATATAATAGCTTAGATTATACTGCAACTATAAAAACAGTCTGTACAAGATGATCAGCACTGTAATGACAAAAGTTCATAGGATGTTTCCGCTACTTGCAGATAACAGATTCAATTTCAAATAAGTCTTATATAACATGGCATTTTTGACAATTCAATACTGAAAAGATGTACAATTTTTGCTAGCAAAGAATATCTAAATTTTTCCTATTTTCATAACAAAATTTGGACCTTATCATACTGCTGCTAGTAAAAAAAAAAAGTATATGGCCACCAGAACAATGTCTACTTTGTTTGATTAGTGAAAATTCTTCAAGCAAATAATTCAATATTTACTTTTATCAGCAGGAATAGATCAATTTACAAAAACATAATAGCGTATATAGACAGGTTCCGAAAATAAATATTTAAGTGTGTATACATTTAATGCTTGTGTTTGTGCGTGTATGTTATACGTGTGTGTGTTTGTGTGTGTAAAGGGATGTACGTACATGCAAGTATAAGCAAGAGTAACAAAACATTTGCATGTAAACAGTTTGAGAAATGGTTACAGAAGTAAAATAACAATACTCGAATCATTTTACAACAGAAATACAACTGATTATTTAATGATTTGAATTAGAACACAAATATGACACAATAGTGACAAGAATAAACATTAACAACTACATAATTAATAATCGGAAAACGAAAAAACTTCGCTATCTTACAGCCTAGACCAATTTAGCGGCCTTGTGCACATTTATGACGCAGACTCAAAATGCAATGAAGTTCATCCCAGAAAAGGGAAAAATCATGATTGCTGATAAAGTTAATTTGTATCCAAATTGAATGTAAATTTTTAACAAAAAAGTGATGATGCATTTTGTTATATTAATTCGGAAGAGCTGAGGGCTTTCTTGATTTTATTCTCACATTTGCTACGCAGTTTTTTGGCTATGTTTTCGGTTTTAATTTAATTAATATATCAGTTTGGATCTTATTGGCATCTATTTCAATCCATCTAATAACTGTTTTTAATGTCTTCAAACATATCAAAACTTAGATGAATATTGTTCAGATTAAAATTTTTTTTGCACATTCCCAGCATTACTGTATTACATTAATGTAGTACAGTAATCAGGTAAGTCAAAAAAAACCGTAATCAGGTATTTGGTTGTCTAAAGTTGAAGAAACGCTATTATTTCATCGCCTGTTTCAGTTTTCTCATACAATTAACTCTTCAGCAGTTTAAACTAAAATTTATACTAAAACTGTCACCGATATATTTCAGTCTATTTCTGATTCCATTGATGCAAGATGACATGTTGCAACTTTTACGTATTTAACGTTACAATTGGCACGTTCGAAATGATTCATTAATATGGCACGCAGAGGTTACAATATTCTTGTATATTTATGTATAATTAACATAAAACTGGAATTTGCATTATTATTAAAATCTTTTGGGGTATGAGTCATTCAGATTCGTTTCAGTGGTAGATTTGAAGAGATGAAAATGTAAAATAAACATTCATTCGCTAATCGTTCATTCCTCTATGCAAAAAAAAAAAACCAGTTTTTGTCTTGTCTAGCGCAAATGTAAAATTATCTGAGTTATGCAGGGAAGAAAGATGAAAAATGACGAATACAGCAAATAGTCAGAGATTGATTTGATTTAAATTGTACTCATTCTTCTTGTGTGTAATCGATTATAAATCATGTATTATTCATTGTTTGTTCTAGAAGGTCAAAAGGTCATAACAGTGATTAGTTCTATCAAAAGTACATCATTATTTCAGGCCATGAAAGTGCCCACTTGCCAGTGACCGTTTTTAATGACTGCTTGTGGTGGCTCATATTACTATTATACGTATCATCTTTTTACAACCCGTTGACCTTCATCTTTGGCTGAAGGAAACAGTCTTTTCTCTTTTCTTTCGCATAGTTAATGGTTTGTTACTGAAGTCATCTTTGCTTTTGCCTTCACATATACTAATTATGAAACTAATTGAGTCATATTTTCGCTTCAAAAATTAGGATTTTATGAGAAAAGTTATAATCTTAAATATTATTCATTCAAATAGAATACCATATAAATGCATCTATGATTATAAACTTTTAAGTGGTAACATATTCGTTTTGTTTCCAAATTTGTTGCAGGAAATTGTTAGAAGTGGTGTGCAGTAATGTCACTGGATGAAGAAATCCGGGAAGATGCAGACGTTTCTAAGTAAGAGTATTTTAAGGAATCGTATTTAGGATTAATATTTTCAAGATTTAAAGCTTTAAAAATCTTGATAATCTGAAGTTTTGTATAAGTCCTTTTATTTAAAATCTAGGCTTTGATGAGTCTTAAACAAATGAATATTTTACACTTACGTTTCTTACTTATCGTAATTATAGCGATCACTTCAAATTGGATGCATTATCTCTGAATAAACCTCCAGAAGAAGTGTTTGATATTGTCGGAAAACTTGGTGAAGGGTATTAATTTTCATGATATTCGTTCATTTCTTCTTCATCATTAAGTATTGAAATGGAAGCGTAACTAATTAAAAATAATCTGTGTTTTATTATTTTCTTCATCTGTTTTGTCTTTATTCTGTAGAACGTTTGCAGAAAATGACTTCAGAAACAAGCAGCTTTTAAAGATAGAAAAGTTCAGTGTTATGCCTTTATTTGTTGTGAACAAAATACATTGTATTTTAATAACTTTAAGGGCCCTCAGTTTCGTATTAAGAAAATTCAACAATATTTTGATTAAATTTTTATTTTAGTATTTATTTAAGGTCGTATGGTTCGGTACATAAAGCAATCCATAAGGAAACAGGGCATGTATTGGCTGTAAAGAAAGTTCCTGTTGACACAGATTTACAAGAAATAATTAAAGAAATCAGCATTATGCAGCAATGCAATAGTAAATATGTGGTCAAATATTATGGTTCTTACTTCAAAAATTCCGATCTTTGGGTATAATGTTTCATTTATTAAGAGTTTTATGTAGTTGCAAAAATCAGTACATCAGTTGAAAGCAAGAAAATAGGAAAAATGTATCAGATTATAAAAAAGCATCGCCAGTTTTGAACAGTACTTGACTTTAAGATACCTTCTACTGATATATTGTTAGCGCGCCAAGACTTTTTTTAATTCATTCATTATTAGCTTGAAAAGGTTTTGACCTTTTAGATTGTTATGGAATATTGTGGTGCTGGTTCAGTTTCTGATATCATGAGGATCAGGAAAAAAACATTGAATGAAGCTGAAATTAGTGCTGTTACAAGGTAGAGATTTTATATTACTAGTACATGTTTTTAAATATCTCAATAATTTTACAATTCATGAAAGTCATACCACATTTTTTTGGAAGTTTTTTGCTTCTAAAAATATTTATTTCAGAGATGTTTTGAAAGGTTTACGTTATTTACACGATTTAAAGAAGATTCATCGAGATGTGAAAGCTGGAAATATTTTACTTAACATGAAAGGGCATGGAAAGTTAGCTGATTTCGGTGTTGCAGGCCAATTAACGGTACTTTTGACACATTTCTATTTTATCCAATTTGTTTCTACAGTAGTTTTTCACTTTATTTTTTACTAGGATACTATGGCTAAGCGAAATACTGTTATTGGGACTCCATTTTGGATGGCACCGGAAGTAATCCAAGAAATTGGATATGATACTAAAGCTGATATTTGGTCTCTTGGTATTACTGCAATGGAAATGGCTGAAGGCCGACCACCACATGCAGATATACATCCTATGAGGGTTTGTGTCATATGTTCGAATTTATATTTTGAATATTATTTAAATAAAAACTTGCAAAATTATTTTTTATTTGTTAGTTTGACTGCATAAATTTTAGGCAATTTTCATGATTCCAACAAAACCTCCACCAACGCTGAAAAATGAAGCTGATTGGTCAATTGATTTCAGGAATTTCATTATGCAGTGTTTAATTAAAAACCCCGATGAAAGAAAATCTGCTAAGGACTTGCTTGAGGTGCAGAAATGTTTTTATGTTAGGGAGAATTGGTTGGCGGCATTAATTATTTCATATTTTATTCTCATTAAGAAAACTCATAAATATTAGAGGCTTAAAATCTACATTTATTAAGAAAGTAAGAGGTAAAAAAATTTTTTCAAGCATTCATTTGTGGCTACCGCGCATCCATCAACTGTTTTGCTAAATATGATTGATGAAGCTCGAGTCATAGCAGATTCCACCGCTGAAGAAATTCAGGTTGGTCTTTCTTAAGAATCCTGGTTTAATGTTGGTTTTTTCTTCAAGATGGTTTTTAATTCCCTTTATTTTAGGAACATGTAGTAGATGAACCAGGAGACTCAACTCTTGTACAAGAAAAATTACTTAGCGATGATTCAAGAGAAGTTGATGATATGACGCTTATACGACATGATGTTCCGCCAACACCAACAAACGGTATGTCTTATTGTGCCTTTTTCTATGAGTCTAAGTTTTTTCAATTTTTCAACAACTTCAAGAAGATTATTGTAGCGCATACTTTAAAGAGTTCAGAAAGCTAGCAATCCTAAAGCTTGATTATCACCTCGCTTTTCTATAAGCTTTTCTTATTCACTTCCTGACTTGAAATTGATGAAGGTGAAAGTACGACTCTTGTCACATGAATTTACTGCAGCCTATGGAGCTCGATTTCCTAGAGATACTGGCTATGTGTATGATTTGATGCAAAAGAAAGCAAAAAAAGTATTTAAGTAAATCTTCTGAAGCTTTCATGCTTTTTGAATCAGTAAAATTTAAGGTGATACTTTCAAAACATTTCCTGCCGAAACAATTACTCATCAGATGAATTCAGTGCGACTTTCTGAAGCTCGACCTCCAGGAGACACTGGTTATGTGCATAACTTGCAGCAAAAGAATGCAGTATCTGAAGGAGGTATATTGGTTCACTTATGTAAAATAATTACATATTTTTAAAGCAGTCATTACTCTAGTAATTCTTGCCTCGTTGTAGAAATGGATTAGGAATCTAGCTTAGCATGTTCAACTTAATTAATATATTTAACTAATCAATATTATGATTGTAAGTGACTAAATTTTAATTGTTATCGTTATCTAACGGTTGCAGAAAGATCTTTGGAATTACCCAGCCATAAGTTGTTATATGTAAATCAAAAAGTAAAAGAAAGAAAACATGGTCATCCCGTTCCAGTTAATGGTGGATTCCCTTATAATGATGCAGTTGATAACGCTGGTGCACAACGAACATTCTCTAGCACTGATTCTTCTTACGATACTTCATATTTTGATCAACATTTCAATAAAGCATACTTAGATGGAGATTATAGCTTCGTTAGTACTTTTAATACGAAACAAAAAGTTTATGAGGGGAAAAAAATTTTAGCATATTTAAATTTTTATTGAATGTCTGAGCAGTATGCAGGGAAGAAAGCTGATTTTTCCATTACTCTTCAACTAAGGGTTTTCAATTTTTATGAATCTTGAAAAATCAAAAAATTGATTGCGAACTTATGAACGTTCTGAGAATCATTCTGCGTGAGTTTTTCCGTGAGTTTTTCCTTTATTTTGTGATTCTATGTTATCAGCTTATTCATTTTTATTCATCCGTACTTATTTATTTTAGCTGGCTGAACTTCCATTAGAAGATTTAATAAGGAGAAAAGCTAACTTGGAAGCTGACATGGATATCGAACTACGTGAGTTGCAAGCACGTTACCAAACTAAGAGACAACCGATTTTAGATGCAATCGAAAATAAAAAAGCAAAAGCAGCTCAGTTTTAAACTGTTTTTTGCATGCTTGTAGGGCTTGCTTATAGCTGACTTCTACTCATATCAAAAGTAGTTTTTGTGTGAATAATTTTGCGTTGTTGTATATTCTCAATTACCGTATCATTACTTTATATTTGCATTAGTTTTCAATATTTCGGATTCTATTCTTTTTTTGAGTGTAGCTTATCTCAATCATTATTTATTCTAATTCACAATGTGCAGTTTGACAGAAATGGTTTTGAAATAATAACATAATAATGTGGAAGTTTAATCTGATTTGAGGGGTCTAGTATTCAAAGTCGTATTGACAGATTGCAAACCATAGATTTCGTTTTTTTTTTTTTAATTTTTAGTTACTATATGATTTAAATTGAAAAAAATTGTAATGTCTGTGGTCAGTACTGATCTGGCACACAGTGTTGTATCAGTTTTTTGCTATTCAATACAGTCATGCGATTAAAGAATTTCTAACTCACTGAAGTTTAGCTTCCTAAGTGGAACGTTCAAGAACATATTATTCAGGTTTGAAAACGGTGTGCAAATCGTAATTAGTACTTTTATTAATTGTGAGGGAGTGAGTGAAGTACGTTTGTTCAAAATGAAATGTTGTATGATAACTTGTATATTATACTCGCTTTTTTGCTTAAAGCATATGAAAACGCTAAATAAATGTTAGGATGGAGATTTTTGTTGTATCCTTTTTTATTGTTAGTGAATGCTTTGTATGTGTATTTCTAATTTAATTATACAAATCTGGAATATTTTTTGTATCTTATTATCATTTTGAATTATTTATTATTTTAGATTATGTTGTTTCAACATTCTGTTCTTCACGCAATTAGGCAACGGGCTATTTTTATTGCAAATTATGTAGAAGTAGCATTGCTTATTACGATATCTTGATAATTTCTAATTTCAGAATTTTATTATTAATTGATCTTTTTTCAAGCCGTGAAAGACCATTAAACAGACTAATTATAATTAATTAAGAGTGAATGTTCATTGGAATGATTCATTGATTGGATTTATTGGCGAATTAAGAAGTTCAACACTTCTCTGGTAAATGTTTAGGGCCTTGTATTTTTTTTAATGAAGTGAATTTTGTTTATTTCTACGTTGTCGTGGTGTTTGACTAGTGTGAAGTGTGAATCGAGTCGATAATGTGCAGAGGATTTTCGAATATGTATCATTCATCTTATGACTACATCTACTCAAATACTTTACTGAAAGTAATCTTGGAAAGCATTTGTAATATTGAGATTGGTGTAATTGAACGTTTTTCATCGGAAAATATTGTTATTTTGCTTTTTAATAGGGCTATCGCATAATTGTAGATCAATTTGTTGCTTCAAATTTATTTGGCAGTAAAATCATGACATCAAAACTTTGCATCAGCGTATTATAAATGATACAAATATGGAATGTACAGAACAAGTAAAAAATTATTGAGCGAAGAAGCAATACTGTAAAGTTTATAACATTTTGTAGAGGTTATTAGATTGATTTTTGTGTTTTGATCTTGTGTGGTATGTTAATACTGTTAAGTATAACTTGAGATTGATTTTCACCTTTAAAAGGTAAAGGTTATAAATTTCACTTTTGGAGCCATACTTCGGGCCAAACATGGGGGGCTGACGTTGGCCGATTACTGACCGATTTCTCGGGTTTAATACGATCTCGCGGAGGGACAAATGAGGGCATGAGTATTTGAGAAACCCCACAATCTGATACACAATATTGAGCTGGGAATCCTGAAACTAAGTTACTGTTAATTATATTAACTGATGTTGAGTAGTCTCGAGGGTTTTTTATTGATTATTAAGAAGGACGCTTCTAATGCGAGAACTGCAATGTATTGAGTGTGATTTATAAAGGAAATCAGTCACCTGGTTCTCCGGGTGGTCCCCATATACCTTCGTCTCCAATACTCCCTGGATCACCAGGTGGACCAATCAAACCTGATTTACCTGGAGTACCAGGTCTGCCGGGTTGTGTCGATGACTTTCCTGGTAAACCTGTTGTACCTTTCGGACCCATTGGACCTGGTGCTCCTTTTGGTCCTTTAGTACCAACACCTAAAAATTGTTGTACTAATTCAGTTGTTGCAAAGAATCATCGATAAGTGCTGAACAGTTTTGAAACCTGCAATAACTGAATCTCCATCAGGTCCTTTAACTCCTTGTGGTCCTTTTAATCCATGTACTCCCTTTTTTCCTTCTTGACCTCTTAGGCCTTGAATTCCAGGTTTTCCGTGTTCTCCAAGTGGACCTCTTGGTCCAGGTGCACCTTCTCGACCTCGTTCGCCTTGGAGACCTCTAAAACAATTCATCAATATTATTATTTTGAATAAATTTAATAGTATGTGCAAAAAATAGGCGCCACAATTCTTCTCACAAATTATATTTCTTCACAGTTAAATGTTGCACTAAATATTTATTTGAACTATAAAAAAATGTGGTATCACAAGTTTATCGTCACCTCTGTCCTCGAGGTCCAGCAGGACAAATTGTGCACGGAAGATCTGGCTCTGGTTGAAGTTCTAAGTCATACCCATCTATTCCTGTCTTTCCTTGATTACCAGGATCTCCTGGTAGTCCATCTAATCCTGGCATTCCTGGTGGTCCTGGAGGTCCAAATGGACATGTCAAAGAGTAGCATCCTAAATTTACAATACAGTATTATCTTTTGCAATAAATATTGCAATATTTTGGCTATAAAATATTGAAAGTTTTATTATTGCATCTTAATTTAATAAATGTATTAAATAATGCATTAGAAACCTCGACAAGTGTGAGTATGCCAGTATGAGCGAACCATACGATTATATGGAAGTTGACTTCGGACATTCGAAATATTAATATTTTTTAACTGTATCCATATTTTTTGTGTTCTTTCCTAATTTTTAATTATTAATTAATTTAATTTAGTTATCACAATTATAATGTAGTTATCAGTTATCATAATTATACTCAAAAAGTTGCAAGAAAAAATAAAACTTTTCAAGACTTAAAAAAATTATGCAATAAATAATAATACTAAACAATCTGATAAAAAGTGATAAAGTTTAAGTGATAATAATGAAATGGTAGCTTGAAAGTATTTTAAGTAGAAGCTATTGTGGGTAGAAGTTTGCTATATTTCTCAGTTCTAAAAATTGAATACTAAAATAATTAATTTGTTATTACACAGTAATTACCTGAAATTTCTTCGCCACAATTTGAGTTTCAATAGTTTGACTTTCAATTTTAGTCAGAAATAAAAATATAAAAAAATTTATGCAAATAATTGTTAAGGCGCTTATCACAACGCTTCCAACTGCAATCAATCGAAATGAATCGTTATCATTATGCATTGTAAATTCTTAAATTATCATGCATATCAATCATAGTTGTGATTTGATAAAGCTTTAAAATACAATTAAAACCTGGAAAAATTGTTGCAAAATAAATAGATCAGTAATAAATAATATTAATGATGCAAAATTTTTTATAAATTTATTCATTATTTAAAATTTACATATATATTAAAAATATTAAAAAGTGTAAAAATGTAATCACATTTTTTCTACTTCATTTTGATTTTATTTTAAAAATTCGCAGTTAATTACAAATAATATCAATGATACAACAACCATTTTAATGAATAAAAACAAAAAATAATACAATTTTTTCAAATTTAAATAAATTAAACTATGCCAATTTTATAATTGCAGAAGTAAAATTTGTGTAAAACAAGAAGTTTTTAGCTTTTATTTGCAAAAAAATTTTTAAAAATATAAGTTATCTTTTACTTTATTTTTATCAAAATGAATGCATTTTAGTTTTATTCTGTCTTTGATAATTTTTAAATTTTATAAAAATTGAAAAAAGACAAAAAATATAATAAATGTAATAAAGTTAATTAGAATAAAGAATAAATTTGCAAATTAAATTAAATTTAATGAAAAAATTGTACAATAAAAAGATAATGTCAACGAGAAACAGTTCATTTGAGTATAAAATAATATTCATTTTTGTATAGTCAATTAGGTCAGTGTCATTTAGCACTTAAAACTTTCAACAATTTTAGTAACAAATTTCTTTTTTTTCTTTTTTTTGATCAAATGAAATTTTTTGATCGAATCAATTTATGCAATCAAAAATTATACCAATGAATCACTTACTTACTATATGCTAAAAAATGCTTACTTTGCAAAAAGTTTATGCTAGCATAAATTTTTTTTTTTTAAAAAAAATACTGCAAAATGTGAAAAGTATGTTTGCATTTTAGAATTAGCATTTTGAAGGTTTGTATTAAAAATGGAAAAATCTTTGGTATTATTTGAGCGAAGCAACACAAATTCATGAGAAAACTTTCAAGCAAGAAGTCTATTTTTTTTATGAAAATAAATTTTTTCCAATAAAATTTCACTTATTATTAAAGAAAATATTCTTACATCACGTAATTTTAACTTTCTTCACGTCAAATTAATAAAAAATCGAATTTTTCCATTATAATTTTATAAAATTTTTACTTTATATTTGATTACCAATACAAAGTGTAGTTTGTAGTTTCGCTCTTCAGCTGCTTTACAAGTAACTTTTTGAAGCAATTTCTAAATTTATCATATTTGTAAAAAATTTCAAATTATTTTTTTTTCAACTTTATATAAACACAAACTTTTGAAATATCTCGCAAATTTTAAAAAATTTGAATTTTTTAAACTTTTTGAATTTAGGAATTTAACACATTAAACTAATTAAGCTTGCAGCAATCAATATAAAAATAACAATTTTAAATAAAATCATTTAATTAAGCAATAATTTATTTTAAAAGTTACTTAAAATGAAAAAAAAGCAACTTTTGTGGTAATTTTTTGGCAAACAATTTGATTGGTAAAATGTTAAATAATTAATTTTGTTTATACTTTCAATTTTTTAATTTTGATTCTCAAACTAACTTTGATATAAATAAATAATTACACCTTTTTCATTTTTAAAATGCACCAATTAAAATGTTCATTGCATAACTATTCAATCAAATTTAAATTTTTGGTGTAAAATTTTTCTGCAACTTTCTACTTGCACTCTTAAATTCAAATTTTTGATATCGCAGTTTGAATTAAATTAGATTAAATTAAATTAAATTAAGTAAGTAATTTTGAATGCTCCTTTTCAAAACTAAATTATTTTTGAATATTTAACAAATCCAATTTTTATTACTTATTTTTTTCAAAAGAAAAAATAATTTATTTTTAAATTTTTTCTGAAACAATGATCACACATATATGAAAACGTATAATATAGCTAAAACTATCAATCTAAACTTGTCAATCTCAGCAATTTAGTGCTAAATGTAATAATTAAGCAAAAGTGGAATTTACTTGAGTGGACAAAAGGTTTTAGCGTGTCGTTGCTGATTGAGCTACTTTTCACTTTGCTTACTCATTTCCTTTCATTATTATTTTCAATTTATTCTGTAATTTATGCAACCGATTGATCTTATTTTTTAAAATTTAAAAAAAATTATGATAATGATAACAATAAATGGTTGTTTTGAGAATTGAGATGGATTACAACAATAAAATTATTACATGATTATGACTATGTGATAATGATTATATAGCTATTATTGCATAGTTATGATTACAATAACGCATTGATACTATACAATATGTTAATTAATAACATTGATAGCAAATAATATACAAATATAATTGTGGTAATAATTACGAGTAATCATGTTGACGATTATAGTATATACAAATGGTAATAATATAATTTGATTATAATAATAAAAAATAGATATTGAGATCAAAGCACATGCAGATGGCTATAATAAATAAATGTCATTATGATAATAATTACAAGATAACTATAGAGATGGTGACGATAACTGTGAAAACAAATAATGTTAAAGATAATAAAGATGTTGATAAGAAAGTGGTAAAAGTTTTTCATGATAAAATATAACAGTTCAAATTCAATGGTAAAAGTTTTTCATGATAAAATATAACAGTTCAAATTTTTAGCATGAATTTTTCATAAGTTAGAAAAAAAATTTCTGAAAAAATACTCGAAATAATGTTTGGCTATAATGTTATCATTAATAATAATAATAATAATAATAATAATAATAATAATATTGATAATGGTAATAGTAATATTACTAATACTAGCAATAACACTGACATCAATAAATGATAACGACTAGAAATAACAATAATAATAATAATAATAATAATAATCATTAAAGTGTCAGAGCACAGCTGCTTTTACATTTAAAAGAATAAAGTTAACATTTTTGGTAATTTATTCATTTTATTACTCTCTTCTGCATGGATAAATATTCAAGTGCTTATCAAAGCAACGATATTTCAATTACAAGTATAATAGAAATAGTAGTGTGCTTAATCGTTATGGGACTGATTCTTCCTTCCATCTGTGGCTTCGAATTTAATGACCCGAAGGTCAGTCTTGACATTGGAAACGGAAAATAAAACTTTTGTTGTTGATAGCATGAAAAAGCTGAATTTTTTAAATAAAGCAATGCATATTTTCATTCGTATTTTCATTCTTTTTTGCACAATTTTTATTATACATACAAACATTTTATTTAGTTTGCCTTTCCACGCATGCGATATAAACTGAAATTGTTATTATTAATAATTATCAAAAAGTATTTAGTAAATTTTTTGCATTTCTTTGCATGCGATTTTGGTAGACTTCAGATTTTACCTGAAATGTTAAAGGTTAAAAGGGTCAAATTAAAGGTTAAAAGAATCAAACATGAAAGTAATCAGCTAAATTATCTAACTCTTTTTTATTATCACTCTAAATAGTTTTGCAGCTGATTTTTTTACTGCTATATTTTACTGAGTAAAATAGAAAAATATTCAAATAAACAAATATCCTCGCATTCTGTACATTCCTTCTTTTTATTCTAAAGACAAAATTTCTTAATCCTATTTTATACAGCTTTTCGTCTATTGTAATTGTTGCAAAGTTGTGTCTATAAATAATAGTAACATTGAATTATTTGACCGCTTAGTTAAAAATAAATTATTTTAGCTACTTTTTCAATTTGTTGGCGAAAAGTTCTCATATAGTTGTGACTAAAATTAGAATTTTGTAATTTATTATCGTTGAATTTTTTTTTTACAACTGTAAATGCTTGCAATTGAATTAACATTCTAGTAGTTATTAACAAATTCTAATAAGATAAAAAGGTCAAAGGTGAAGTCATAAATTTGCAATATGCACATTGTTTGTCCTACTCTGATCTACTGTAAAGAAGTAAAATGTAAAGGGATAACATTGAATGTGTGATAGTTAACCTTATATTACTTCTGGATTTCTATTAATTTGTTCAAACATTATTTGAAGAAAATTGCTAAGTTAGCCAAGTATACTAAGTTAGCTAAGTTAACTAAGCTACGAGCATGAATAATTTGAAAAAATGAGTAAAAAAGAGACCAATCTTTCTTGTTATCTCTCTATTTCCCCAACAAAGTTAACTTTTTCAAATTTGCTTGATTTTATTAGCTTCGCACATAGCTAGCTATTACTAAGTAAGTATACGTTTGAATTCAGGCAAGTACGTTAATGCATATATATCCATATGTATATATACATATACATATAGATATAGATATATATTTGCATATATATGCATATATCTGTGGTTAGTTTATTGACTATCAACATTGCAGAAGTAATAAAACACTAATATAATTTGTAGCTCTTTCATGTTTTCTACTTTGTTACAAAGAAAGACAAATTTCAATTACTTCTTCTGATACACATAATAACATTGAGAGATATTACTAGTAAGATAATACGATAAGTAATACTTTTACTATTAATACTATTTATTACTTACTATTTAATAACTTTCTTTAATTTAATTTATAACTTAAGCAAATCAAACATTTGCTTATTATGCAGTGCTATTTGAATGATAATTATATACTAACGCATATTTATTTACTTTAGACTAATTTTTTAATTTAATACTGATGTTACAAGTTTGGTTACTTCGGGACTGCAGTAAAAGTAGTTGTAAATAAATAGTGCTCAAAATATAATTAAGCTTTTTTGGTTATCATTTTTATTTTTTATTTTAATCGTTTAAGTAATTTGCAAAAATACGTCAAATGACGAAAATATTATTCATACTGTTAATAACAGTAATAAGTGCTAGATAAGTATGGTGTTAAATCAAATTATCAATATTTAACAAATGAAAGTAGTACTGTATAGTTGAGGATATTTGAAACTTTCAGATATATTATGAAAAGTAATCTTCAGAAAGTCAATAAGTATGCATAAATATATTACTGAAATTAGGAATTATTATTAGTCTTTTATTAAATTAAAAATTAGTTTTTAATTAATGCATATTTCAGTATGTTATCAAATTAAAATTTTTATTTTCAAATTTTTATAATTACTAAATAGTAAGTTATCAATTTAAAATTTATTTATCACACTAATATCAAAAAGTATATCTGATAACACTTTACGATCTAACTGCTTTCATTTTTCACGTTACTTTTCTGAAGAAAATTTCTGAATAGCGTTTAGGAAAATGTAGTTCTTACGATCACGTATTTTTCTATGACTACGTAATAGTTTTTGCCATTTTCAGTACCAAACAATGACAGCGTTTCAAATTACTTAAAATTATTTGAACTATAAAACATTTTTTACTATGAATGAAAGCTAACTACAAAACTCTATGATCTTGCTCTTTTTTTTTAATGTAAAGTATTTAGAACGAAAAAAGAAAAAACAATTTTGTAGCAAAAATTAAATAATAACTTAATTTATGCAAATTTTATTGTAACTGTGAATTAATGATAAATAATGTAGTGAAGATAAGAGTTTTTATTATTTTTATTATTTGAATTAATGAAAATTTTTGAATATCTGTAAGTTGATAATGCTTGAAATGGCTTTAGCAGAGTAATTCTCGATTTTATATCAGAATGCAAGGAAGAAATAATAGTAAAAAGCTAGCTAGTCGAAAATGGCAGAAATGAATTATCGAAGGAAAATGAAGAAAAGCTTATTTTAGCAATTTCAAGTAATCTAATTACTAAATAAGAACGTTGAATGGATAAAGTTAAGTTAAGACCGATCGCTTGAAATATTGCCGACTACTTCTTCACGAATACAAAATTAGAAAATGTTATTTATCTATACTTAGTAGAATAATTAATTACAGCATTCAATTTATTATATGCTTTTTACTTTTTAATATTTTTTGAAGTTTAATGCAAGTATTTGCTATTTTTTTTTGAGGTGCACAAATTATTATAAATTTTGATCAGTAATTATTAATATATTTCAAATTAATATATTTTAAATTAATGCTTTTTAATTTTTATGCTAAATTTATTACTATAAACTGCGAAATAATTCTGTGTACTTCATAATAGCAAATATTTTAGGTATAATTTTCCTTTGTAAAATAATTATAGTTAGAATAAATATATATTAGGCAAGTTGTCTTGTTTCAATATTAGTTGATGGAATTTCAGTTAAAGTGTAAAAATTATTTTAAAGAATTTCAGACTATATGAAAATTTAGCGAATGATTTGGAATTTGAAGAGAATGTTTGAAAAAATTATGAATTTCGAAAATGCTAACTTTCCTAAAATCAGTAAGCTATGCATTAATTAGGTTAATTTAGGTTAAAAAATTGTAAGTTAGGAGTTTTTACAATGCAAAAAAAGGAATAAAATTATTATTAAGTATGAAAAAATTTTAATATTTAAAAACTTTTAATCCCTGCATTTTTTTCTATTAATTCAGAAATTTAAATTCACGTATTTTCTGAATTATGAAGTTTTTTTCACGCAATAATCTACCTCATTTACAGTTAACAATGAGTTAATGCTTTTTGAAAATACTTTATTTGCATTTAAAATTATTCACTGTTTGTTTTTTAAATAATTAAAAATATTTGAAAATTTGATAATTTACAGTAATTTGAATATTTTTAGAAAATGTGTATGATATTTTAATAGGAAAATTTTTAAGAAAAAGTGCTGATGCATTTTGGAATACAAACTATCAGTGCTAATTTTTGAAATAAATTTGTTCAAATTTGCATCATACTTCCATGCATTACTTAATACTGTGAACTTTTTAATTTTTATTAATTAAAATGCTTAATTGGCGTTTAAAATTATTTTTACTATTTTATATAAAAATAAAAAAGTCTAATAGCAGTAATTAACTGCAGTAATTTTTGTTATGATTACAGTATCTGTATTAGTAGAAGATAGAAATGCATTTAGGCCAAATTAGCATATGTAAATTTGAAATAAGTAAAAAGCCAAAAATTACTGCCTTATCTAGGCGTGGTTAGTTGCGACACTGATCAGAAAATTTTTGCTAAGAGCCAATAAGGTTAAGGCCTAAAGCATATGTCGTTGAAGCATTCAGGCAGTGTTACATTCATTTCTGCCATTTCGACTTTTCCTCAAAAGCTTAGCTAGGCCTAGCTTTCTAGCCTAGCCTAGACATCGTTAGTACTTTGCCCTTGTACTCTCTGACACTAAGGCTATTTGCTTTCTGCTTTGGCCAAAGGCCAACCTCCATTTTTCATCCATACTGTAGAAATTTTATACTTCTATTTAGTTTGCTCATGCACTAAATTCCATTATATTTGTTTTATTTACTAACTTATTTCCCGAATTTTCCAATTAAGCCTGAACTGTTTTATTGGTATTTACGGGTTTTGATGACATTTTCACTACTAAAATCTCAAAGTCCTTCTAAAAAATGCATCTAATCCTTTGCTAATTTCAATTAGCAAACTGGTAGTTTCTAGACTTTTTACTTTGATAAAGTTGAAATTTTATTGTGAAAATAAGCCTAAAAAGTTGATGAATTCATTCGAAGCTACAAATCCGCAAGATTTTGCTGAACAACTCCAAGAACAACCGCTTAATTTTTCAACTAATTCCATTAAACAAATTCATGTCTCTACTACAGCAGCAACACATTGGAAAGGTACGATAATGTATTACACTGAGCAACTGCTTTATGATCATAATCAGTGCATAAATCAATTAGATATTAATCATTTACTTAAGCTGATTTTGTTCATGCTTACCCTTGACCTCAGCATTAATTATTAAAAAATTGCTTTCAACTTTTAATTAATTGCGAGTAATCAACATTATTGTGAAAAAATTTCGCAATCGACTCTTTTTTTTCTGTGAATAACTGACTTATTATGAAATATTTTTTTAAAAGAATTAGTGTTTTATTCATTATTGAATTTATGAATAATAAATAAATTACTTCAATAAGTAATAATATATTGAGAAAACTTTGTAACACATAGACATAATAAATAAAATACATTGCAATAAATTTAATTTGATTCTATGGCTGATTTCTTTTTCAAATATTACAAATTTTTTAGATTCAGAATCTGCCGATAATGCAAATTGTATTGATAACTCAGATAGTATCACATCATCTTCTAGACAAACGGAAAGGGATTCGGTTCCAGTTTCTGTCCCGGTTCCTGTTCCTGGTACCGCTCCACACCCCACACCGCTTTTCACCTATCAACCGTCTATATTTATGGCTCCAGGACTTTTACCACCTTCCTATATGTCATCATTTGCCGCTGCTGCCGCAATGTCCGCTGCGATGAACGCTGCCGTGCACCGTTTACCTCAAGTTTTGTAAATATATTGCACAGCAGAATATTACTATTTTACTAATGTCATTTATTAAATTATTAAAAATTGAAAAAATTATTGGTAGATAAATAAATATACTTTACTTTACTTTATTGTTGATGAAAACAAAAAAATGAAGAAGGAAAATAGTAGTACTTTGTTACTTAATGACTTGACATTTAAATTAAGCATTTAAATTAAGTATTATATAGAAATTATTTTCAATAATTACTTGTCAAAAACTTGTGTTTTTTTAATTTTTTTATTAAATTGAATTTTAAAAAACGGTTATTTGTATTGATAAATTTGTGCTTAGCTTAAGGTCACCAGGTTATAATCATGGAATCGAAGGAGATCCAACAACTATTTCGGTTAATGCTTTTTGTTCAGTAAATGGAACGCATAGTTCTAATCCAAATTCACCTGCACTTTCTTGTGCTGTTTGTGGTGATATATCCAGTGGAAAGCACTACGGTAACTGTCAATAAATTATTTTGCTTTTTTTTAAACTTTAAAATTAAATTTGGCATTGAGAATAAATGAATAAAATATTAGAAATAAATGCTCTTAGTTTTGTCTTACAATCTTGTATTTATCAAAAATTATTCAAAATTATTCTAAAAAATCTCGAAAATATCAACAAATATAACATCAAAAATGAATGAATATCCATAGGCATTATTAAAAACCTCAAATTAAATTACCAACAAAGATACAAAATTAGTAGTAAAAATAAGTATTATAATTATTAAAACAGTTAAAGACTGAATATCATTTTGATTTCAAGAAATTCAAGAATCTGCAAATTTGTAGCTTGAAATTAATTAAGTTGTTAACTTTTTAAAAGAATAAAAGTCTGCATTCCAACTTTTTGTGGTACAAAACTTTGCAAAATAATTTGCGGTAAATTAATAATTTAGCTTCATCTTTCTGCTAAATTTTTATTTAATAATACAACTGTATCATACAAATTTGAAGAAAAGAACCAAAATTCTCGCTAAAAAAACTATTAAAAACATGTAAATGTAATTAATCAAAATTGCAAAAATTGTAAATTGAAAAGTTTGTTTGTTGTTTTAATTTCTAGGAATATTAGCGTGTAATGGTTGCAGTGGATTCTTTAAAAGAAGCGTTCGTCGTCGACTTATATATCGATGTCAAGCTGGAACGGGTTCGTGCGTTGTTGATAAGGCTCATCGGAATCAGTGTCAAGCTTGCAGACTTAAGAAGTGTCTCAGTAAAGGAATGAATAAAGATGGTAATATTTTTTTAAGTATCATTATATGCAAATTATTATTATTATTTCTATTGAATCTTTATTTTTTAAATGAATGACTTAGAATTTGAATTATATTATATATTGAACAAATTTATAGAGATTGATTTTAAATAATAAATATTATAAAAAACTTCAATTTGCTTAATTATACTAAATTTGCAGAATATTTTAACAAAAAGTTTTTAATATCAAATAATTCGATTAAACTTTTGCTTAAAATTCACTTGAGAAATGAAAATAATTACAAAAATTTTGAATTTTAAGTTGCTATTTTTTTCACACAAGCTTTTATGAAATTTATATGAGTTAATGAAAACAGTTTTAAAGTATTTATTTTCTATCAATTCTTTACGTATGAACTATCAAAAAAGACTTTCTGCTCAACAAAATGACAGCGAAATAAATCATTTTATATGTGTAAAATAGTTTTTGATTCTGCGAAAATTCAAAGTTAGTTCAAGTAAGTGAAACAGATTGAAGTTTCAAATATAAACTAATATTCTATTGAAATTTTTAATTTGATTGATTTCTGAAAAATTTTTGACTCTATTTTAACAATCAGTAGAATATTAAGTAATAATTGTTTAAAGTAAATTGCAAAATTAATGCGCAATTTTTTAATTAATATATTTTCCATATTCAATTCAAAATATTCTCATACTAATTTGTGTCAAATTTGAGCTGTACAAAATGAACGTCAACCACGAAACACAGCAACAGTACGTGTTCCGAATGACCGTCCAAATCTTTCCAAGTCTCCAAATTTCTATAGGCAAATAATATTCTGTTTTAATATTTATCATAGCACAAATAATTGAAGCTTTTGATCAGTATTATTTTTCAATATTTAGGCTGTGAGTACTTTGAATTTATGACGATATTACGGAATATAATTAATATATTTGCACAAAAGTATTGCATTTCAAATTTAACAGTTTTATTCATATTTGTAAAAATTGCTGACTTCATTCAAATTAAATCCATTAGAGATTAAGAGCCAAAAAAAGATAAAGAGTGGAGAATAAAATTAAAAAATATTTTTCATGTTATGCACTACTCTAAAACTTATTTAAAGTTTTTTCCATTTTCATTTTCATAATTTTCAAATCCAATTTTTTTGTAAATTATTAATAATGGAAATGTCTGTGGTATGAACTCGACTTTGTTATAATGTACTATAATTTTTTTTTTTTAAAAATGTAGTACAATTAGTACGGCATTTCGCATGAATGGAGAAACACCTGATTCAACTTCTGGTACATCAGTTGCAAAGACTTATTCTCCAGTAAGCGATTCAAGCAAACAAGATTCATTAGAGGTTTGAATATTTATCGAGAATCTATTCATTCTTTTCAGTAAGGATTGAAAATTTTTGCAACAAAAAATTTATTTAATGTGTTTTTTAAAACTTTCTTAATGATTGAATAATTTATTAAGGTTATTGGAAGTGACAAAATTGATGAGATTCGACGTGGTATTGAAAATGAAAATGTCCAAGAAGCTTCTGCAAGTCTTTTATTTTTGGCATTAAAATGGGCTAAAAATCTGCCATCATTTGCTTTATTATCATTTCATGATCAGGTAATGCATAAAATTAATATCAATATATCAGCAGTTTTTCAGAAAATTTATTTTAATGCAAGCAAAATTTGATATTAAGCGAGAAAATTTTTTGTTTACAATTTAAATTCGAAACTAATTAATTTTAGTTAAAATTACTGGAAGTTGGCTGGTGTGATTTATTTCTTCTCAGTGTATTTGAATGGTCACTTCCAATGGAAAAATGTCCATTGTTGAATATGGCACAAATTTCTGAAAATTTGAATTTTCGGTACTTGAATGAATTATTTTTGCGAGTACGAAATTATGCTGTTGATCATGGCGAATTTGCATGTTTAAAGGCATTGGTACTGTTTAGGCCAGGTATGCCTGATATCGTATTATTTTTGTGGTCACTTTTTAGCATTATTGAATAATAATATTTCAGTGATCAGTTCAATAATAGTTAATTATTAAATGATTCAAATTTTATTTCCATGAGAGTATCGAAAACTTTTTTACCACTTTTTTCAAAACTGTGCTTTGAAAATTTTTCATTCGAAATAAATTTCTAATGAAATTTTTTAAAGATTTGATAGCATCTGAAACTTTGTTTCAACTTTTATGCGAAAATTAAAATGTAATTGGAAAGAAAATTTTCATCAGTTTTTACAGATTATTTAATAATTAGCATTCGACCTATTTTAAATCACAATTTTTTTTCCATTCACTTGCGAGGAAAGTTCAGTTTTTTAATTAAAAGTATTTGTTTTATTCTTCAAAGTTGCAATGTTAGTATAGGTCGAATGCTAATTATTAAACAGCAAATCCGAAATTTTTAACAGCAAATCCGAATTTTTCAAAATAGTATATTTCTGCTGATTTTTTGACAAATTATATCATTTTCTTTAAGGTTAACTCTTGCCATATAGTTTCTTGGTATTTACAGAAAAAATTTCAAAATCTATTCATCAATTAGTTATATTTAATAAAAATGTTACGTGTTAGGTAAAGATTAGATTACGTTTAATAGGTCATGAGAAAAATGCCAAATAGTCTGGTTAAGAGTAAATGGATTTAGTAGAAATTACTTAGAGACTAACTACAGTAAAATAGTAATACGCATCGGAAATAGAAACAAGAAACTAATTGAATTCATCTTTATTTCTCCTAACAAGCAAAAGAGATTACTTTTCTTGTTGTCAAATTCGATTAAAGCAATACATTAAACTTTTTATATTATTTTTGCTTGCTTTGCCTTCAAATTATTCACTAGCATTTCATCGAATTACTTTGTTGAATCTAATCGATTGATCTTACTTTGACTTGAATTATAACTTTTATTGTTATTATTATTGTAATAATAGTTTTATTATCCACATCTCAGATAATTAACAAACTGAAAAATATGTTTTATTGTCATTTTGCATGATATTATTAATAATCAATATGATTACCGCCATTATTACTATTACTATCAGTTCAACTTATCATGATGCACTATTTTATTCTCATATTACTTCTCTTGTTCCCATTTCTGATGTGTATTATTTTCTTACCACAATCCTCAAAGCTCTTCTACCTACTAATTATAAAATTTATAATAATATCGCTATTATTATCAATTATATTATTATTAGCATCACTTTTGAAGGAAATAATATATAATCAGTGATAAATGATAATAATAATAATTTTATGCAAGAATAATAATTAATTTACCTGTTTCAAAATGTTATTTGGTTAAAACAATTTGTTATAAAATTTATGCAGTTTTAATTGATGTCTATTTATTTTTCATTGTACAAATTTTAAAAGGTTTTAAAATTTTAAATGAATGATTTTCAGAAACAAGAGGACTGAAAAATTTAGCTCAAGTTGAAGAATTGCAAGATCAAGCTCAGCAAATGCTAGCAAGACACACTATTACTTCATCGTCATCAGCAAGGTTTTTTTTATGTGATTGTGAAGTTTAAATAACAAGTACATTACAGTTTTTTTTTGTTCAAGGAAAGAATTACCTTTGAAGATATATAAATGATTTTGAAAAAAATGCATCATAGATTACATGAAGAAATCATTAAAAATATTGTCTCAGTTCTGAAGTGGATGAATTTTTTCGTAGTTCTATGAAGACAGTAAAGTTCGTAAACTTTGGAAATCATAAATTACTGTTCAGCATTCAAGTTATATTTGATGAGTATATAATATATATGAGATTATTATTAAGAAAGTAAATTACTTAAGAATCAGGTAGTTCTATCCAATAATGCTTTAAATACTTATTTAAATGAAGTAAATTAAAAATTTCAGATTTGGACGTTTACTTTTGCTTCTGCCACTCTTACGAAACGTAAACGTGGAAAGCATTGAGCAAATGTTCTTTGTTGCTACTTTTGGTCACACATCAATTGATAAAATTATTTGTAAAATGTATAATGGATGAAATATGAAACAATCATTATGTTTTTGTTCTGGAAAAATTATTTTTAAAGTTGTTGCAAATTAAACTAACTTTCTAGATACTGTACTAATCTTAACGAGTTCAAAGAAGAGGATTAAACCGATCATTATCATATTTTTAATAACTGCGGATTTGCTATGCATTTGATCAACATTAGGACAACGTATTTAGGGATTATATTTAAAAACGATTGATAAGCGCCTGATGCTTTTATTTCAACTCGTTGTTAACTTGACAAGAATGATTGAAAAATTGAAATTAAAAAGAAAACTTCAACCAGAGTTCCACTACTTCTCATATTTTCTTGTTACGTGACTTGTTAATGACTTCATTTGAGCTTTGCTATCAGAACAATAATATAATGTAATATAATATCCCAGACTAGTGCTGACTATATGTAAGAAACAAAATTGAAGCCACAAGCCTTTAAAATGGAGCATTAAGTGCGTGGCATATTAATTCATCTGAAAATAATTAATTCAGAAATGATATCTGTCAATTTGTGAATTGTCTTAATCGAATTTTTTTTAGCTCTAATATGTTACTCTCTTTTTGCATTACTTATGCAAAATCACTTATTCATTTAAATGCTATTCATTTTTTGCATAGATAAAAAATGAAATCTTTTGCACATATTCCTTAAAAAAATAAGCAGTTACCTTAGATTGCATAGAATAAATTATAATCACATTTAATCTCGACCGACATTTAATTTTTTCAACAATATATCACGCAAATTGAAGAAAAATTAATTGAAAAGTGTTCGTTTCAGAAAGAGTGAGATGGAGCTGTTTACATGAAAATAATAATTGCTAAACTAATATCACTTTATAACGAATACACTTTTTGGATAAATACCTACATCTAATACTATAATTTTGCTTTGCTTGGAACAATCATCTCACTACCTAGATGGATCATAATTCTCTACATAGTACATTAATCTGTTTTCTCCAACTACTAGCTTCTTAATCATTAGTTTTATCAGCAAAACTTCCAACCATAAATGCATAACTAAATAGATCCATAGTTTGTTTTGGATTTTTTACATTTTTAAAATACTTGATAAGCATTGAAAGAAATATATTAACATCTTAATGTATATATTTAAAAAATATTTAAAGGGATTGCTAATAAAATTAAATAGTTTCTGAAAATGCTCAAGAATTACGATACAAATATCCCAAGCAATACTTTTCGACTACATATATGCATTAAGATACCAAGTTTAAATTTCGACTCTTACTTATAAAAATTCATGTCAAATTCAATCTTTCAATTTTCTGTAATATTTTTAAGAAAAAACTTTTATACATGTTCTTGAACTTCATAAAAATTAAGAGAATTAGGAACAACTAAATGATGTCAAAGGCAAATAATAAGTATCACTAAACTTTAATAAAACTTGAATCAATTCAATAAAAATAGAAATCAAAACAGAGATAAATACCTTCAATAGCATTTGAATACAGTTTTGCATGATAACCGATGAGAGAGCAAGGCACTGCAACCAATATTAGTATTGGATATTAATAGAAAGACAAATTTATAGCATTAGTATTTAGTAACAGAAAAATCAATATATGTATATATATATATATAGTTGTATATATCCAATTTCTGCTCAAAATTATAAAGTAAATCATAATACTGATATATAAATATATATATATCAATTTCCTTCATTGTGTGCCATTTAATTACAAAAATATCAACACGGTAACAGATACAACAATACCTTACAGTAGATAAAAATTACTCATAACAATGGATAAAAACAGAATGTTCACTTGTCGGAAACAATTTTTAATACAGGTAGTCGTTTGCACTTAAAATTTTGTCCTTGCCAACACACTACTCGACCAGATGCAAAATTCACAAAAAGCCTCCGACAGGAATTTGAAAAACTAATGCTGGAAAATATTTTAATAAATACAAAAAATCAGATTGTAGAGCAATATCATATAGCTTTAGTTATGATCCTACAGACTCCCCTTTGCATAGAATTACAAAATGAATACATTTTTTTGAACTTTGGCATATATCAAACAAATGGAAATATTTTAAACTGTAAAAGTTCTGATCAAATAACTCTAACTTCGAAATATTTCTACTGTATTTTTATAAACTTTCTTTTTTAATAAAGAAATTAGGTGTAAAGTACTGCAAATCTAAAAAAAACCTAGTGATAGGCTCGAGAAATCGATAGTCAACAATGTCACGTACAAATCCCATTGTCCATAAGTTATATATTCTGAAATATAGAATATATCAGAATATTAGTATTGGATATTAATAGAAAGACAAATTTATAACATTAGTATTTAGTAACAGGAAAATCAATATATATATATATATATATCCAATTTCTGCCCAAAATTATAAAGTAAATGATAATACTGATATATAAATGTATATATATATTAGTATTATCATTTAAATTATTGCATAAACTTTTCAACAACAGCATTAAAAAACAAAAAATGATATTATTTAACGGACAATACTTTGAGGAAGAGAATAATTTTGAGCAAAAATTTGTAATATAAATTTGCAACATGAATCTAGAATTGCTTACCTTATCACTCCATTTTGCAATGCTAGAAAAAGACAGTTCACAGTAGTTCCTTCCCGAAGCGATGTCATAGCAACTGCTGTGACTACGATTTCTGTCCGGGTACTGCCTACTTTTAATCCATTTATGGTATACAATGTTATATTGCTGCCATATCCTAAATTTCAAAACAAATCATAATAAGATGAAGCAATGCATGCATCCTTTCTTAAATTCTTGGTCGTCCCTGAAACAGCATATGAAAAAATTGAAAATTACAGTGTCAGATTTTTAAAGCCTTCAAAATTGTATCAATCAAAAAGTGAAAAAAATGACTGCTAACATAATCAGTAAATCGAAAAACTTAACAAACATTAATTTTAGAAGTAGTTTTTCCTATAATAAATTAACCTCGAAGCTCATACCAAAATGTCCGACAACAGCTACATCACAGCTACTCCGACTTATGCAAATGAACTGCACTTTTTCTTCATTAGTTGAAACAAGCGTTCGAACATAAGTTAGACGATTTAAATCCCACAAGCAAACTTTCCCCTGATCGCAACCGCTTGCTCCTATGGCGAAATTACTACAAACAGTTAAGGCACGTACTGGGCTATCGTGAGCATGCAGTCCTTTTAACAGAACAAAGTCTTTGACACCCTATAAAACATTAAGTGCAAACTAAATTTACCAACTCGCTTATAATAATGTGTAATTAGGAAAGAAAATAATTAAACTGTATGAAAACGGCAAATAGACGAAATAATGAAAAGGTCAATTACAATAAAACATACCGAATCATTTATTACAATATGATAACTATATATAATTCCACATGAAATACCTACAAGGAGTAAATCAAAAGAAAAAGAATATGCTACTGCTACTACCTGAAATAAATTAAATTATTAGCGCAAAGCGAGATCAAACTTCTTTTTTACAAAATATATGAATCCAACTAGAAAGGAATAAATAAACTAAAGCAGGAGAAAGTAAAATTTGAATGTTAAAAATCAGATAATGAACAGGTTTAAACAATATGAAATATAAACAAACTGCCTAGTAAAAAAATCACTAACACTGTAACTGGGATAGCTTGCCAAATTCCACGATAATTTTGGCTGCTCAAGTCGTAATCGAAGTAATTCATCACTGTGTCGCCAAGTTATCAACCCGTAGCTACAAAAATCTCCCAATTTTTTGTCCTTATGCTGAAAAAATTTTAGAATTTAAAAATAGTTTTTTGAAACAGAAAAATAAGAAAAAATTAGAAATTGCCTTTGTGGATTTTTTTGTATTTAATATTCAAAAACAATATTACTTTCAAAAATAAAGGAAAGCATATATGATGCGTGACTCAAATTGATAAATATTCAATTTCAGCAGTAGAAAAATTCTAATTAAAAGCAAATATCCTCAACCTTGTAAATGAAACATGTTTTGTTCGGAATTACGAAACAGTTTCCTTCTGAAAATGCAATAATGCTACCGCCACATATATCACTTTTCATCTGCTCTTCATTTAAAATTATCACCAAATCACCATATTCCGTAGCTGGACTTCCAACAAATTCACCCCATCGTATTCCTTTGATAGTATCAAGAGGACTCTAAAAACATACAGATTGCAATGAAAAATCTTTTAGAAGTGAGAGATATTTGCGCAATAACACTACAATACTAGATGTTTCAGTATGTCACATCTTTTCTTTTTTTTCTTTAATTATTGACACAAAAATCATTCAAAATTTTCGAGCAATCTTAGATATTCAGGAAAAATGAAAAATATACCAATGAAATATTGGAAGTGCAGTTATGCTCCTTATTATAAAGACGAGAAATATGTGGTGAACGAAACAGTTGTGACGGCATCTGTCCATAAGTTTGCACCATAGTTTGTAATGCAGAAACAGATAATTCGTCCTCTCCTTCATTAATATTATTGATGACATTTATTCTATACGTCTATAATTGAAAAAAATCTCAATCTATAATGAATAATTTTTGTGTAATGACAGAAAAGAATAACATATCTAAATAGTTGGTATATGTCAGCTAATACCAGAAAAACAGCCAGTAACAATAATGAAACATAATGCAGAAATGATAAAAAATTAAGAGGAACAGATAAAACATGAGACATGGACCAAATATGAAAAGTAAGGAAATACCGAAGGATGAAAAACATTGATAGCATCGATAGCAGCTTTTCCGGTTTGCTTGTACCCAAATATCAAATCAATCCAGTGGTTCAATTTAGAAGAAACAATAACCGATTCTAATGCTTGCCGATGAATCAGCACAAATAAACGCGGTGATCCTTGACACCTACAATTACAACTAAATCGAATGACATGCTCATAATTTAATCATACAAAATTCAAATTGAAAATACTTGGTTCATGAAGAAAGCTTAAAATTTGAAAAAAGGAATACATCGTGATTTCACAAACTATCTTGGCATTTCAATAATGATTGCAACTAAATAAAATGTAAATTTAAAATTTTAAATTTGTTAATGTCGCTAAAACTGATCACAGATACGTGAAAAAAAGTATACCATCTAGGCAATATAACATCATTAACGACATCACCATTTTGACGTATACCCAAATTAAGCTTCTCATGATTTATGAGAAAATCCGGCAAGTAAAAAAATTCAGGAATAAGTTCCTTGAAATCAGTCGTTGAATCAAAGCTTGCCAAACGCCATGCAGTTTCAACAGAATTGAACAATCGATCAGCAATATCGAAATTATTATCTGACACAAGTAAATAACTAAATCAGATATACTACAACACATACTATAACAGTGTATTTTGAGATAGTAATGGATTGTAATTGATAAAGTTTCCCTAAAACACTTTTGTGTACTTGCTTTGAGTATCAGCAGAACAAAGGCATGTGTGATTAAAGAATTCCAAAATTACACTAAATTTAAATTTTTAGTTATAGAATTAAAACAAAATAACCTTGATATTCAAGCGCAATATCTGTGAATGGAGGCAGTCGAACAAGATAATGTGCAACAATTCCAATATTTGAGTAGTGACTTCCATAATGATAAGGTCCAATAGAAAACGGAGTCCTGCGTCCTGGTATTAACTGAGCTGCTTCACGAGCGAGATATTTATACTTGTGAAGATAATGCTGTTCTAGTCGTTTATCTTGAACTGCCATTGGACGACTTAAATCTCTAAAAAAATTCTTCCACAACTGGAAAATTAAATAGAACTCAAGATTACAGTGGAATTCCAAACAATGCAATTTCTTCACTATATTTTTCACACTCATTTATTCCTCACCAAATACTTATTTAATTGTACATTCATGCTTGCAAAACTTCATCTCTTATAAAGTTTACAGCTTTTAAACATGCTTAAATATTGGAACCGTCAAAAAATTACTGAACTAAATAAATTAAATCGTTTGCAGCCAATGTAATAGTTTAAAAAGTGAACTAACTCAAGAAAAGTTATCAAATGTAATACATTTTAATATTCCGGAATTTACAACAAATCAAATGTAAACTATTTCAAAATTGTTAAAAACTCTAAAACTGCTCATAAAAGATAAAAAATAAGATCTAATAATGGCATTTCAATAGATTAATAAATGAAATGAAACTTAGTAATGATTAAATTCCAAATATCTTCGATCCATTTTCAATAAAGTGCTTTGTATCTAGCATAATGAATGATCAGAGTAAAAGGAAAAAAATCTGAGACTGAACCTGTATGCAGCAAAGTCAGTTAGATCCAAAATTTCGGACTGATAGTCTGACAAAATGAATGGAAACACTGGATACTGCATGAGATCATTATATGAGCGCCCAGCCATTTTGTTCAACTGCATTAAATATCTATAACAAGCATGCATTGCAAAACTAATTACCAGCTACTTACTGGAATCTACAATTAATTTCACAGTTGTTGTTACTGCATACATCAGTTATTCACGAGAAAGAATTCCTCATTAAATTTGCAAAATTATTTTTAGCAATTAGGAATTTGTTTAAAATATTGGATATGATACAAATATTCCCTTACTTTTTAAACTGAAAGCATATATATATGTCAGTAATAGCAATTTCCAAATAAAAATCACTTTAGAATTTTCCAAAAAATTATGCAAAAACAATATAACTAACTCGAAATTTGTAATAGCCCCTTCTCGCCATAACTGTGAAATGAGATGTATAGGAAAATTGGAAAAACCAGATAATTTACACAACTTTGATGAAAATATTTGTGACGCAAACTGATCACGCTCCTATAAGCTAAAAATTGTCTTACAGATTAAAAAACTGTTATCTTCGCTTTTGAATCGAAGAAAATCAAAATTTTTACCAAAAATGTGTTGCTACGTCAGAAAATAGTTTCTTCTGTCACTCGAAAAAAAAAGACACTATTATCTCTAAAATACTAAAGAATCATAAGGCAAGTAAAATTAAACAAACTTTTTGTTCTTGAAAAACAATTAAATAAGTCTGGCCGTTAGCTAAAAATATTTCCAAAGCAATGTCTTTCAGGAGATGATGCCGTTTACAGATGTCAACCAAATCTTCATAGCACCATCGAATGAATAGAGTATTGGCAAGATTTATCCGCTTCCAAAATGAAAACGTATCATTAGATAAATGAATAAAATTTCCAAATAGGCTAACTCACTGTTCTCTACATTAAACCACAAAAGCAAAAATCAAGAATAACAATTTGACACGTATTAAATATAATGAATTCGTGCAATACAGCTAGCTACGACATTATAAACACGTAGTAATTTCAGGACAGCAAGATGAATGCAGAAAATGGGGTTAGGGAAACAAACCTGCACAGATCTGGTACAATCACTATGAAAATACAGTTTTTTGTCTCCAGCAATAATTTCACCATTACTTTCAACAGCTGATCTTACAAGTACAGCTGGTAATGACAAAATAATACGTTCTCCAAGCTCTAAACCGCTTTCCAAATTCAATTCATGAACGCTTCTCCTCAGACTACTCTGAGACAATACAGAATACAAAATTTCTTTACTAAAAACTTCTTTGTGAAGGCAAAATTATTTTAACTTTAACATAGATTAATAAAAATAATATGAAAAAAGAAACAATCATTCATTAGATGCACTATGGTTTAAATTATTTCAAATATCAAAAATTACTATGCTCAATAGAGACTAATAAAAATGCTTGCAACTTCTGACCATTAATAACAAAGTAATATTTCCTTGAACATACTAATAAATGGAAGAGTGGAGGAGATCGTTCTCGATTTTTCATCTTCATAACCACTTCCGGCTGCAAAAATTTGGAATCAAACGATAAATGTGAGGACATTAATCTGCGACGCTCTCTATTTGGTCCTTCTGTAGGATCAAGTGACCAACTTGACGGCCAAGATTCAGGATCGTGGCATAGGCCCTCCGGATGAGAAAGATCTGTCTGTAATATTAATTAACTGAAAATTATTCAATAATAACAGAATAGTGATAGCCAAGTTATGCCTTCATAAGTTGGTATTTAAAAAAAATCCACGCAAAAGAATAAAAACAATAAGAAAATCTAAGTGCTCAAACAAATTTTAATTAAACTAAAATACCACTAATTGATCCAGAAAAAGGTCGGTATTGATGTCTTTCAGTTCTGATTCTCGACAAGCCTTCATGAAGTACTTTCGTAACATATTTTGATCTTCCACGACTTCGTATGTGATTTGCATCGCTATCTGACATATTATGAATTGCATAGAATTAAAAATTTGCAGGAATTAATGCAATGTATTATATATTAGGTAAAAAATACAATAATTAGCAAAGTTACCATAAAATTGCATCAAAATTGAGAAACCTCATTTCGCTTCTTTGTTTTTTCTTCCATGTCCTTAATGTAAGTAACTGCTTTTCGTCTCATGTGTGTTAAAAATTTATTTCGGTGCTCTACGTAACCATGTACAGCCAACCATTCATCCATATTTAATGATGAGAAGCGATCTAAAAATCAGATTAATCTTATTATGTTTATAATTTGCAAAAAGACTAGGAATTCTGTAGCAGTCAACTATCAAGTAGTGAATAAATAAATAGAATATAGTAGCTTATAAGTTTGTATAACAACAACATTTAATGCTGCTACATTTTTAAATTACACATGTTCTAAAATTACTAAACAACATAAAACTCAAAATTTCACAACTACTAGTTTTTGCATTGAAAAATATACTATGTAACGGATTAAGTAATCGTTATAATCTAAAAAGAAAAACAAATGTTGGAAGGAAGAAATCTTCATACCTGAATTTAATGTTGCTAAAGGAGACTCTATTTGTAGAGATCTCAAAAATTTTATTAAAACTTCCACATCTCTTTGAAAACTTAAATCCTGTACATTATCCAATAGTGCTAATTCATGAAGCGACAAATTTAACGCGCATTGATATTCCTTAAGAAAACAACTATAATCAATATAAATGACATATAAATCTGCATCATCTATGGATTAAATGTATATTTTACGTAAAGTTAAAGACAAACTAGGAACAATTTTGAGCAATATCTGATAAAATAAAGAGAAAATACATAATGAAAATTTTTCCACTATATTTTTAATCCAATAACTTGTTAAAAAGTCATGAAATAATAAAATAAATTCTCATTTAAAAAATTTACCAAATTTGAGTCCAAGAAACTTTTTAACTGTGTTTTGTGCAATACTAATAATCTTACAATCATAAGCCGCTTCTTCAATTCCCAATCTTCTTCCTAAAATACCCTTCTTTACATTTCTATAAATAAAGATAAATATCAAAAATGAATTTTTAAAACAAACGTCTAAAAATGAAACTTGCATCTTTGGTGCAGATGGCTAATCGTTTCTTTCCATGTTTTTTTCCAAAAACTTTTAAAGATGCCGGGAAAAGAACGAAAGAGATGAGATGTCCGAACAAATATTTCAAACCCTCTCGACTAGCACTAATAACACGTTGTATACTGCCAGAACGTAAGGAAATACCACTATTAGCATCTTTCTGAAAACATAAACACATACTTCTTTATCTTACAGGTTTTTTCATAAACATTTTTTGACGTAGTCGCAAAAAGAGAACCCAATTTTTGAAGCGATCAATTGGAAATATATCAAAAAACAGAAAAGTTTCAAGTGCATTCTGATAAACTAAATCTACTAAGAATGTCTCAAAAGTATAAGCTTCTAATTCTAATTTGCAAGAAAAACTTTCAATTACAGAAGAAAAACATTTTCAAAATACGTGAATTAAAGACAAATGTAAGAATCGATGAAAAATTAGAGCAAATCAAAAGATAAAATTTTAAGAAGCTACTTAGTAATCAACACACACTATAGAAAACTTAAAGGCCAAACAAAAAATCATACATGCTTAGTCACTGTTGAAAGCAAAGACAAAAATATTTCAAATAATTTGATTTCTTGATTTGTAACAATAGTTCTTGAATATTCAACTGGCATACAAATGAAAAACTGTGAAATTTCTGTGACACACAATATAATACGTTTCGCACGTTCATCAACTGATGGTATACATTTATTGCAATAGCTCTTGTATGGACATTTCATATCTGAAATACTGCAGTCTATATACTAATTATTATTATCCAAACATTATGCAGCCATAAAGTGCTAAATACTAGACCAAAGAAAGCAACTTAAAAGCACAGCACGAGAAAAGCTGTATCGTCTCGTAAGCTACTTTTTATAAGTCATTTTTACAAAAGGATAAACGAAGAAAAATGCGTAGAATGAGAAACTTTTTAAAAAAGAAAACAAAGATGCATAATCTCTACAAAAAATAAAACTTTTAAATAATTTATGTGATAAAAACGTACAATCTCGAAAGTCAGTAAAGGTTTCAAGCACCACTGAAAAAGTATCGGATAGAAAAGTGCTGATAGTAGGTGTATTGCAATCTATATAATTACTTTGAACGTCAACAGCACTTTCTTGCTCTGTGCTTAACATTTCGCTTGCTGATTTTGAATCTGCTTCATTTAAAAAGAATAAGTTAGATTCACAAAAAAATCTAGAAAAAATTATCTGACACAAGAACTTTCCTTTTACCAATACTTTCAGATTGTAAAACATAAAATTAGTCTTCAATAAGACTAGACTGCACTCATTCGTATCATTTCTTGCTGATCTTTTGCAGTTTATGTGATATGATTCTTGACTAAGAGTGATGTTTTTATATATTTATAGCTAAGATCATTTAAAAATTATTACCTTCATTTAAGTATAACTCTTGAAGTACTGATAGCCATAATCCTAATATACAAGAAAGACCCTGGCGAGTAATTTTTTCCGACTGATTATTTGACGTTAGCACAGCCATTTTAGAAAGCCATAACAATTTCAGGCACATTTCATATAAATCACAATTGCTAAGAAAAAAGACAAACATTATAAACACAACGCTTGAGCTTTAAAAATAGTCTTAAAAGTATCTAATTAAATCTTATTACTTAAAGAAATATATTGCTCACCGATATGGTACACATCTGCGTATGATTTTTTTAACGATACCAAACCAATATTCCATGAACGGTGTGGTCGAACTTACATGAACGAGGTCAGTTTCTCTGTAAACATTATTATTAGAAAACTTAAAACTAGTCAGTAAATGAACAGAAAAAAATTTTCTTTTGCAGTTGAAATAAAAAAAAAATTAGATTCTATAAAAATATACATAGGATGAAGTAAGGCAATTCGTCTTAAAACAGAAACAACAGCAACCCATACGCCAACGTCCATCATTGCTTGCATCCACATGTCATTTTCACTGAATAACTAAAAAAATTTTTGGCCTGGAAAACTGAAACAAATATAAAAATAATTGATATGAAAACATAAATTTTGGAAAAATAAAGATTCTAACCAGAAATGCTTACTTTTTCTGACTGGCTGCAATAATGTTGCATTTCATTAGAAGATAAAATTACTATTATGAACCAATGCTAACCATGGTTAAAACAGAAGAAACATTGCAATATATGGATAATGTTGAATGATCAACACTTTCTTCCCACAACACAAATATTGCTTTTAATGCAATAGATTTGAATCTGTTTACCTGCGAAGAACACACAAATTTTGAGTCTAATCTGAAATTAAGATTTACGAGTCAAAATGCAATGAAATGAAATGAGAATACGCGTGTTGGAAAGCTTGACCAATTTCATTCAGTCAAAAGTTAATGACGTTCAGAATATGGCGAATTAATCACACATGTTCAACTTACATATCGCTTAAACACACTGATTCTTCGAATAACAAGGAGAATAAAGCTGAAGCCACCTCATCAGTAACAGAATAACCTCTCATTTGATTAGAAAGTAATTCAAATCCACCATTCTTCAAAAAATCAAAGCGTAATTCAAGCCCCGCTCGAAGCTACAAAAAAAGAAAAGTTTTAAGATATCTGCCAAATGTATCTCAGAAGATATGCTTTTTTGAACTGTGCAAATTAAAAAGTAAATATTAATGCAAAATGCAAACGAAGATTATTAAAACTAGGATTGAAATTTAGATATGGCGAAGAAAACAAATTACCAAAATATCTGTGAGCAAAGTGAACAAACAATTTCGAATTAACTGGTCACGTTGATTCGTCAGCAGTGAAATTATAGCTTTCCACGACAATCTCATATTTACAATATGACTGAAAAACATACACGGAGCGTGTTGAACAATTGTCGTAAGATGTTCCAAACATCCTCAAATACAGAATCAATACAAGCATGAATTGAAAGAACAATAAAACCATTGTCAGATCCATTGAATTATGATTATGAATATAAAAAAAGTTTAAATTACAAACATAATTCAGATTTGTGTGGAATAATTTTACGGTTAAACGGTAAAATATGAAAGCGGAAGCTTACAAAAACGTGCAGAATGACTAACATTAACAAAACTGCAAGCAGTAAATTTAAAGATGAAAGAGAAATATTCTTAGTCCAAGCACTTGCATATTTGCCACTGAATAACCACGTATACCGTTAAAAAATAATTAAAGAATTAATAAAAGAGAAAACTTACTACAACGAAAAATACTGAACCAATCTTTTTTTGCTTCACAAATAGAGGCTCCATCATTACAGTGCTCACTTGATTTGTGCTGTACGTCTTTCAAATCAGAAACCTGTGTTTAAAAGAGCTGTAGCAAATCAAAGCAATATCTAAAGTCTGCAGATTGGTTTTGAAACAAAAAAACCTACAATGTATGGTCAATAACTTGATTACACTACAGCTGCATTTCTGCTGAGTGAAAAAAGAACATTAATCGCCTACTGTATGCAGTTTATCACTATCAGTTGAAGTATCTAAATTTTTTGATTTTTCTATTTCTTCAGCAGGTGTAAAACAGGCTGCTTCATACATTTCACGCAATTTTCTTACTGAACGTTCTCTGGTCCAGATTTCGATTATACGATCTGCAATATTAAAGGGGTATTTAAATGAACTGCAACTCTGAAACTTATTGCTCACTATTAATAAAGGTAATCAATAGGGAATTAGACAAATACGCCACGTACTATTCTCATAAAATATTTCACTTTTTAACAAATACTTTTTCAATCGGAAAGAACAAATTTCAGATGAAAATTCATAGTCTAATAACTGACAACCTCATTCAGCTTTGAAAGTTCAACACAGTTTTTGCTTTCTGTCACAGATATATTTGCTGTTACTTCGTATAAGATACTTCTTTAACAGTTTGAAAATAAAACAGTACAATGAAAAAAAAAGGAAAAAGTACCTTTGCTAAGAATACTAACATAATCTTTTAAGCGGCAAACGAGATCAATATCCTTTGACAAGTCGCATTCAGTTTTATCTCCCACTAAATCTGAAACAAATTTTTGATATCTTGTAAAAATGAGGAAGTTTTTTTACATCTTTTAATTTCTAATTTGCAGAAGTAGAAAAATCTAAAGTTGTTAATGTTTTAATATTTATATATATACATTCCGTTGATACGCTCAACACTAGGATTGTGTACAAGCTGTTTCAAGAAAAAGTTTGGGTAGAGCTAATAACCTTGCTGTAACCAAGCTAAATGGTCACTATGGCCATATGCAATGTACGTATGAGCCGGAGCATGGGAAAGAAATATGAAATTCCATAAATAAAGTATCTCTTCTGTTGTTTCTGACATATCACGAATGACCATTATTGCGATTTCAGTAAGAGATGACACATATTCTGCTTCCACTTGGTAACTTTCCTCATTTTGAAACATTTCCAAAATAGTCTGCAGAAATTTTTTAAGAAACACATTGCTACTATATTTATATAAGTTTAAAAACTGTGCAGTTATTTCATTAACAATGAAATTTTGAAGAATTTATCACTCATAAAACCGACTAATCTAAATTTTGTAATTCCATTTTAAAACAAAGAAATTCAACAAAATATTCTCCGGCTTTGGGAAAAATCTTTGAGAAACACTTCCGATAAGAAATATCCCTAGAATCCAAATAATAAAAACAAGTATGAAGGTAATCAATAAAAGCAGTGCATCACATTCGTATTAATAACTAAGATTGAAGCATACTTCGACAAACTTTTTCAGAAAATTAGGTCGCCTCAATTGTTGTTTATTGAATACAGAATATTCTGAACTTTTTTCAGAAATACATTGGGCAATATTACCTAACAATTTTTGCCACAGCAAAATTCTTTCTCCTTTCCTGATAATAAAAACTGCATGTTCATTATAAAACACTGAATTAAATTAGGATATAAACTCAAAAAAATAGTCTTTTAAAACTGATTACTCATATAAAAAGGGTATATTCAAGAAATTAAAAGAATTTGAATATAAATCCTTGACATTATCTTATTTTCCAGTATTTTCTAACCACAGAAGAATAAAATTTAAAAGTTATACTGACAACTCAGCAAAATATAAACATATTGAAAACAAGAAAGATATAAACAGGAATTATAACAAAAGAAAAAATATAATGAAACAAACCATATTTGGGCAGTGCAAACAAATTTTACTAAGAACTCTGAATTAACTATCAATCGCTCTTTATCTGCTTCTTTTGAATAATTCATATCAAACGGTGATGATATGCAAAAAACTTGAATTACCTAAAATGTTTGACTAAACAATGCTTTATGTAAAAATAATTTTTTAATATTATCCACTGTGTAGGAATGTGCGAAAATATTTAATAAAATCAAATCAAAGTAATTGCAAAGATGAATAAATTCTTACTTCCAGCAACTGATCAAGATGAGCAAGTGGCGATGTAACGCATCGTATTACACAACTGTACATGTTTGAAACAGTGTAATTAGCCATAAACGGACTAACTCGTGTTAAAAAATGTAATAGCAGACGAAAAGCGACTGCTTGTCCATGTGCGCTATGCCCCTGATCAATGGTCTGCAATTTTGTACTGAAACTAGTTTTGACATAGTTTGAAAATAATTTCGTATCAGTAATTAATTTGTATTTTTAATGTACGAATAGATGTCAAAAATATTCATTGCAATTCACAGTTCCTTAATTTTCACAATCCAGTACTTAAACATTAAATTTTGCATTCAATAATTTAAAGGTACATGTTAAAATTTACCTGCGCAAAAAAAAACAGAAGTAAGTTATGTGAACCAAGTGACATCAAACAATCATCAATCGTGGATTTTGATATGCGTTTCATCATCTTACCTCTCCAATTCAATAAATATTTTCTAGGAGGGGGCAAATGACTATGTTCCACATTTTCCGAGCTACTTTGTGAATCAGATTTCCATTGTACATCTACCCAATAGTCCCTAAAACATAAGTATGAAACCAACTATACATTTTCACGTTTTTTCAGAAAGTTCTTTTTCACATTGCTAATATTTTAAGAAAGATGATTATGATTTCTGCTAAATGTTTTGAAAAAATAAAAATTTCTAAATGATGCTATTTTTAAATTATTACAGGAAAAATTTTAAGTAACATTTTCATAAAAATATATCCAAAATTTAAGCGTGAACTTGAAATGAAAGTTTTTTTAAATGAAAGGCTTACTTAGTGTTGAAAACAAAACTATTTGTAAGACCAATATATTTCGCCTTAACGTCAGCAAAAAGTTCCAAAAGAGAACTCTGTCGAGAAGAAAGATTTATGAAATTATAATGTAACAATGACATTAGCCTCACTGTCAAGGAATCAACGTTACATCTATCGAGTGAAACGAAATTAGGACCAAGAGCATGCAGAATAAAAACATGTTCGAATTTCAGGAAGCCTAAAGGGCCAAAAAAATTTTAAAGCATACGCTGAGATTAAAAAGAGAAAACATATTGATTGAAAATGGTGTTTTCAGATTTGCTTAGAAATTAAAATCTAAAAGCCAAGAAAGGAATATTTCTTCTGGGATATCGTTGACTGCAAAAACTTACTCATAAAAATATAATATCAAGTGAAAGTGAAATTATGGCACTCAATAAGGAGTGTATGCTTTTTATTAGTTTCAATAATCGAAAATTCGCTCACCTCGAAATCCAAAAACTGATGACAAACCATACAATATTTTTGAATATGCACAACCTTGTAGTAATGAACCATAGCCAAAAACGAATAAAGATTTTTTGGAGATATTCGTGCTCTTATGCTTAGCAGATAAAGTGAAAGACCGGTTATTAATCCACACCTAGTAAAAACCAAGGACTATAAGATACTGATGTAATATTAAATCATGTAACAAGTATCATTTAATAAATTTCAGTTAATTATTTACATAAAATTGATTCCAGGAAAACTGAAAATTGGAAATGTTTGAATGAAAATGTTAATTTAACACAAAATTTTATTTGTAAGAAAAGCATAAATGACTACAGCAATTGTTAACCAATTAATAAGCTGAAAACTGAAACACTTTACAAAGCAGTGGTTTTAAATGTATCATAAAAGTCCAGCAAACTGCCAGGAAAACAATACTGACAACACATTAAATACTACTTTAAAAAATACAGAAAGCTCACACGCATTGAGTTAATTGAATCAACACGAATTAAAGACAATGCGATGTGATTCCACTCATCATGTTTTAAAGTCCAAGGAACACGCTTGTTACGTACCACCTTACCTTCCATAGTGCAACTAGAACTTTCAGTAATAAATGCATAACAACTTGCACAAACTATAAAGTATTCATGTTTTGTAGACATAAAAAGTTATAGCTCCATGCGAATTTTTTTTTACAAATTTATAAAATTTTAAATTACATTTTTATTTGCAGCATTTCCTATTAAAGTAAAAATTATTTAAAAAGTCAAATTCAGAAATTCCTAAGTCGACTGAAAAGAAACAACAGCAAAATCTTTGAAAAATATAGAATGCAAAAGATTATTATCATTTTTTGATATATTTAAACACAAAAAAACTGAATTGCAAAGGCCTTAATACCTTACGTACAGTAAGTGACTGCAAGATGATAACTGAAGCAAAAAACAAGAATCACTTATGTTGAATGAACAAATAGGATAGACTGTTTCTGCTGCACTATAAGAGGCCTGAAAATTTTCTTAAGCTAACGAAGCACTATAGTGCATTATTTTATAAAATAGAGATGAAGAAAGTTTATGATAAAATTCAAATGTGAGGAAAATATTTAAATTTGACTATATTATTAGCTCGGATATTAATCAAGTAGCATATCTCTGAGTAGCTCAATACTACAAAACTCATGTTCACTAGTGTATATCCCACACCTTTCTCTGGTTTTCTAATAACAATAACCAAAACGATACAGTCAATCCATCATTCAACGTTAACATCTGATTGAGATTAAGTTCTGCAGCACAGCACTGACTTAAGGAATATGTTCGATCTATTTTTAAATCAGTTGCAGACCGCGAAAGTAACTGATGATCACATAATTGCTCAACTTGCTTTCCAAATGGTATTAATAAATGCGATAATGGAACAGAGAATCTTCTGATCTAAAATTTAGCATTAAATACGCAAATTTTAATAATGTGCTACAAAAGTGATACCAATTTTTATTTCGACACATGAGCTGGAGAAATTTAATTTGGTATCGATAAAATGAAATTAGCAACGAATAAATTAGTAATATTTATTTGATGATAAAAAAATATACTCTGTATTTTTCATTAATTGAATCATTCTTTGCGGAATATTGGCTTCTACTGCAACGATATTTCATACAAGAACTAGCTATTTGTGGAAAAAGATAGACATCTCTTGGTTCGACCTTTTTTTGTTGCAAATATTCCAATATAGCGTGTAGCAAAGCTGACTGAAAAAATTAATAAAATCTAAAGCTAAAACATATATTGATAGTACAATATATATGAGTAAGTGCTTGAAAGTGGAAGCATTTGTTTCAACGTACTAAATTCTTTAATAAAGGCAAATATCTGATGCTTTCAGAAAAACTAAATTATTCATAAACATATCTTGAGATTTTTATCGTGAAATGATTGATATAAGATAAATACAGCAACACAAATGTAAATTAACTAATTGTGAAACAAACATGAGAATTGTGCTCAAGTTTTGCGATTGCAAATATGCTTCTTAAATCAGTCGCTGAAAGATTTGCGTCCCCCAAATCAAAGTAAAACTTAAGAAAAAGTTGAAAGCAGTCTGAAAGCACCGGAAATCCACTCAGTAACTGCAGAAGTGGAATCATACGAGGATTTAGCTGGAAAAAAAATAATACACAAATTATTTAATTTCAAACTTTAGGGTCTCAGAACCGTATTCCAAAAATGTATAAGAAATAATCAAATGATAATCATGAAAAAACAAAGAAATGAAACAGTACTAACCTCAATAAACAAAGTAATTTTTTCATCACCCTCAAATTGCGTATTAAACAATGTGTGCCGAAGCATACAACACATTTTGCGAATACTATAAACATCACAAGATGCTACGTCACGCTTAATTTTAAGGTGCTTCTGTAGCAGCGCAAACGAAATGACATATATTAGCGAACGAAAGGTGTTAAAGCCTGAATATTAAATCGTAATGGCACGAAACTACTTTCCATAGAAAAGAAACTGTGAAGCTTACCAGTTTTGATACTTATCATCTCATGCTATTTATTATATATGCAAAAATCGTAGAAGAGTGAAAAATAAGTCAGCAAAGATAAGTAAATGTAAAACCAACTTTTAGTACACTCTGGAGATCTGTGAGAATATTTGAACTGAGGAGACGAGTATGTAGAAATTAATAAAATTCGACTAAGACATTCTAAAAATTTTCCGCTTGATACAAGTGATTCATTACTTAGTAGTCTGCGTAGTATATGATTCAGCATGTTTTCCTAAAATTTTTTAAAACATGATTATTTAATGAGGAATTGAAAATTAATCCTTTGTTTGAAACCTACGAAAAAATCAAAGCAAAAGTCATTTTCGACCACGCTTTCGTAATTGCAGCAATAACTTTTATAAACGTAGTTTTTGGTTTCTAACTGAATACATAAACTGTAGTCAAACTCTGCTACAATTGTAATAAACTTGTGCGATAAGCTAATAATTTCTCTTGATCTCAGCAAAACAAGAACATTATTGTACAATCTTTAAGGAAATACTTTACTTCAGTGTTAGTTGCAACAATAATTTGCAATGTCGAGCTAAAAATCTGGCTGATACGAAACATATGTAAATATAGCTCGCTAGGAGTTGCCATCCAATCCATTGCAGCATCAATGAATTTCAATGCATACTGCTTCACATACTGCACAAACCAATATGGTAGTGCTATAACATCTTTTGAAATTATGCTATAAAATACTAGTAATGTGAAAAAATGTACATGAATTCTTTAATGATTCGTGGTTCTGAAAAGATAAAAAAATACCTAATATTGCATTAAATTCTTATTCAAATAAGAAGCTGGGGTAGTAAAAACTTGAGAAAAGTTTCAAAAATTTACTGTAATTAAATATCTGCAAAAATAAAAATCGCTAGGGCATTACTGTACTATCGTTAAATTTTTTCTTAGGAATTAACCTTTTTTATCATAAAACGACAACAGTAACAGAAGCAAATCTGTAATGTTTAGCAGAGAAATCACACAATTAGAAGAGCGAACCAGCGTCCAAATGTTAGCATCAACGCAAATCAGATATTGAGAAAGTTGATCGATGAGTGATTGTGCTAACTGTTTAAACCACAAAGACAATCAACATATTATAGTGAAAAGTTTATAAAGAATGTAAAAAATATTTGTTTCGAATGAACCGAAATATAAGTACAATATTTAACAAAGACAGCAAAATATAAAAATACTTGCAATTTCTGTGCAAACTGCTTCCTTCCCAACAATGATACATCGTTGACAAATGATACATACGATGTTAGATGTTGTCTCACATGCTTCAGTACCACTTACAACTGGCAAAATTATATCTCTGAAATCCGGTCACATAGTTTTACAGTTCATAATTACAATATTTCAGCTTTAATATACCAGATAACTTTTATTATCATGTGCACAGATTTCCAACTGGATATTACAGCGAACTGGAAACAGCCAAATATATAGCTTACATGACTACAGAAATGTTTCTCTTCTCAGAGGTGCATTAAGGAATTAAAGTACATCTATTTCTTATTAAAACCAGAAACTACACACAAAAAAATGCTGAACATTAATTTAAAAATATCATTTGATTTTAACACAAGACTAATTGACCTGATTGCAAATTTAATAGCCTGTTGTCCAACCAGATGTTTGTCGATAAATTCAGCCAAAGCGATACAATGCATCCAAATCCCAGTCTCTTTATTGTTACCTTCCTTTCTTTTAAGATTAAATAAATCATTTTTTAAGCGTTTCAGAACGAGTAATGAAATGAGTTCCACATCCCTCGTTATTAACCCTAGAAAATTGGTACTTTTACAACATCAAAATGATATTTTTCTTCTATATATATAGTTTTCAAATGCGTTCTACTTCTTTATTGAAAAAATTTTAATTTCTCCCCTCCACAAAAAATAAATATTTCTAAATACAACCTTCGTCTTTTACCATGACTTTTGAGTCAAATGAATGCTCTAAACAATTTTCTAAATATGACGATTTCACATAATTAAATCATATCCTGACACTAAGAATATAATTGAGTCGCGTCAGTAATGTAAAAAAGTTACAACGACAAATTAGTGAAAGAGCCTGTAAAAGAGATATCAACGTGGTTTCTTGCCAAACTCTTATCCGTGTTTGCAGTGTCATCAGAACTGGTTTTGGTGCCGCCACTACAGTTCTACAAAAAATTTTATGTCCAGAAATTGTCTTCCAAATCTTGCTCTCAAATGGTAACACTAAATAATGAAGAAAAATATATTCATTTATTAAAAATAAAAAAAATTTCATTCTCATTTTAATTTCAGTATTTTTTCTAGAAGTGTTATAATAATAACATCACCGTCTGATGGTGATCCTTTGTTTCCTAGCTAGAATACTCGTAGAAAGGCTAATAAAATTATCGATAACATGACTGGATAAGAAGGTTGCCAAGAATAATTCAAAATCTATGAAAGTGAAATATTCATCCGGTAATGAGAGAACGCAATTTAGAATTCCTGAGATTACAGTTCTGCAAAAAAATATTTAAAAATATATGCAAATGTTTTACTCATAAATAAGAATGACATACTTATCGGAACAATTGGTTATGATTTCAGTGATCATTTCGTGCACAAACATGTATAAGCAGCGTACTTTTTTATAGTGAATAAGCTGTTCTTTACCTTCCTGAAAGAAATTTTACCTTAGGGTTAAAATATTCACACCCCTTACCTATTTTATAGAGGTTTTCTAAAAGAAAGGATCAATAAAATATTTTTTAAACATTAGCACCAAAGCGACAGTAGCAACAGTTAAAAATATCATCTGCAGTTAATGATCGAAACTTTTCTTCGCATTAAATATTTTTCTCAAGGAAGGATCACTTCTATGCAAAACTCCACATTTTTAACAATGAACATAGTCAGTATTAGCAATGAGAAAAAAATGGCAAAACTGTTCAGGAAGTTGGCTCATGAAATTTAAAAAAGTTAAATAAGTTGAGCAAGAAAAATTAAATTTCAAAAAATAAGAGTGACCTCATGAATAAATTCTGCTTTCGATACGCAGGTTACCATAGTGGAAAAGTTCCTCGAATAATGCACTATACATTTTGTAAAATGGCTGATTACATCCACAATATGTGAATGAGTAAGAATATTTTCAACATGAATGAACAAATCTCTCACTAATATCTCGAAATGATTTTTCTTGCACAGCAAAAGACAATCTGAGACATTTGAAAATACCTGTGTCATTTTCTGCTTTGACTGCAGCATGAGTATGAGAATGTCAATGACCGTAATTAAGGATCTGAAACGAGTGAAAAAAAAATGAAATTCTTAAAAATTCTTATAAAACAACCATTATTAATCAATGTTTTTTAAAACATGAAAAACTAATTTTGATTTCTGTATTTAAAATTTAAAAATTTTCAATTACTGAATAAGCTTCTTGCCTGTAAAGAAACAAGACTTCATCGTGCAGTTCATAATGTGTATTATAACATAATTCAAAATTTAAATCAACAGAATTCATGTAAACATCTAAATGACGGGCCATCTGAAACATAAGATTAAACAGGTTGAGTAAACAAGATCTATATTGATGCAAAAAAAGCTTTTATGTAAATTAAAAACTGGTTATATAACATTTTTTATCCTATTCCGAATTGGAACACAGAACGTCGTATTTACTCACTACAATGCTACGTTCAATTACCTTTATGAAATATTTTAGTATATTTTTATTTTCCAAATATTTAGAAATACCTTTCTTGAACAACAAATGATACTTTCGACTAAGCTCTTCTGAAAAGATGAATTTGCAGAACCAAATTCGTCGTACAAGAAATTAATTGATCCCTTGAATAACAAAGATACCGTCAGTTTCCAAGGAGTGGTAAACTGATTTTTGTCGGAGACTTAAAAAGATATAACAAAATCAAAAGCATAGTTTAGAAACAGCAAAATTTATTATAGGAAGGAACGATGATGAACTGAACGTGTTGAAATGTTTCTAAATCTAAACGATTGCATAAAGTCCTGCAGTTTTTTGTCGTGATCAGTTCGCTAAATATAGTATTAAAAAAAGGAGGATAACGAGATGAAAAAAATTCGTTAGTTTTGCATATCAAGAATGTTCGAAAACTCTGTGAACTAACCTGGAATATTAGCTAAGAGATTCTGTAGAACTGATATGTAAGTGTTACCATCTCCAAGCAAACGAGCAAATATTGACAACGAGTGGGCAAAAGTTTCAAATTCGGATATACACCCAGGTGGGCGACCAATCAGTTTAAAATAAATCAATTTCAATGTTGAATCTTTCCAAATATTATCTGTGACTGAAAACTCAACTTAATGATCTCATTTGAAATTCGACTTGGACTTTTTTGATATAAAGACATTTCGAAAGCTTAATTTTCTTTACAGTCTAGGGATATGCAGAAGAAATAAAAAGTTATTTGGCCTAAAATGAGCAGAAAAAAAAAGTAATACGATGGGACACAAAAAATCTGTTTTCCTCTTCCGATTTATAAAAAATTTTTCAGTTCAACATTAATCTATTCATAAATGTGAAGTCTAAAATTACCTAAATAATTTAACTGTCATGAAGGAGAACGATCTAAATGTCATTTCATGCTGTGCTGTGATTCACAAATATCAGTTACTTTAAATACATCATTTTCAAACGTTTATAATCCTTTCATTCACCTTTCTGAACTACGGACAAATCCACTTTCTCTTCCACAACAAAACCATCTGAATCCAGATGAAAGACATTATCTCGCACAGTGACCTATAAAATACAGGTTATTATTTAAAAGACCTGTATCATGTCAAGTAAAATTTTCAAAAATAGAGTAATCAACAAAAATTTATTACTAAAATTAGTTGCTCACATAGACTAATAATTCCTTCACTGATATAGTGATTCATTTAATCCTTCAGATACTTAGATTAAAAAGAACATGAAAAAATAAAAAAATGCAGAAAAACCCACGGTATATTTTCGCTCCTTCTTGCATATTCTTCGAGATTTTTCATCTTCTTCGTATTCTTCTTCTATTTCCTTACAACGGCTACACTGTAATTCTGAGAGTAATTTTTCATCCGATGATGAGATTTCACTGTATAAACAAGACCATGGAACATTAAGCAGATCATTCCCCAGTACAGCTGCTATCTTCTTACAATGTTCCTGCACTCCTGTAAAACAATAATGAGTCCGTTTGAACTTCTTATGTTATTTTATTACATTTTTATAATTTTTCAGTAATATATTGATCATATATTGAGCAATATTGAAGTGAAAGATCATCAAGATTTCCATTTTGCTTGTTAATCAACATAATTTAAAACTAAATATTTCAATATTTTTTTGCTAAACTGATCTTTACGACACTGTTGAGAATGTCTTATGACCAGAATTCAAAATATAATTATTGAGCAAACCACTGCGTGGGTTAAGCGGTAGACGTGCGACAATTGCAAGAAGTAAAGCTGTTCTTGAATCCACACGTGTAACTTCCTCTAAACTATTCTTCAGATACTCTAACAACGGACGTCGCCATCCCAAATAATCCATTGCTGTTTACCGTATTCTTCAGGCACTCATTAATCCTTGTATCATTTGCTTCTTCGAGCCATCCAAGTATATCTATAACCAAATAATTTCATGACTTTGACATTTTCAGAAACAAGTGCTTCTGTTTTATACATATAGATGTAAAAATATAATTTACTCTTCAAATATTGTGAAATTTTTGAACTTGATAAGATTTTAACGCAATGTATGTTTTTTTGAATACTCATCACGTGAACGTACAACAAACACACGCTAAGCTACTGTAATCTTGTGCATACTTTCTTTTTATGTTATTGACGTGAAAAATTACCAACTTAAAATACAGAAAAAAGACATCCCTTGAGAATCAAACGTAAAACGTGAATCAATTAATGATCTGAAATTCAAACTTGTTTAATTACAAGGTCCGTCCCTGAAATACCAGTTTACAAGTTGTCTTAGCTTTAAATTTTATTCAGGCGCAGTAAAGAATGGTTCCAAAAAGTGTGCACTTGTAGGAATTTTTTACGCTGCACAATTTTTATCAAATTGTAATTCGCTTAGTGAACGTGAAATAGCATTTATGGATAATTTTTTCCCAACATCGTCATGCTTGCAGGATCAAATCAGGAATAAGTTTACGTTTCTAACATCTGTTAACGTGAACTTTTGAACTTTGTAATAGGGACATTTCAGATGATTTTATTGGGCACAAAATGAGTGCACATAGAAGTTATTGTGGGCAAGCCAAAAAAAAATGGCGAAAAATTCTGTATGAACGTCAACCATTTGATGATGAATATAGTGGTGGCAGCGAATTTTTAAAAGAGCTAAAAACTAACAGTAAGCTAATTTTTATAAATATATTTATATTACGGTAGTTTTAAATTAGTTGCTAATCTAAACTTAGATTCTCAGTAAGCTTGGAAAGATGGTAATGAAAACTTAGATTCATGGAGAAGCTTGGAATATTTCGAGAAGCTTGAAAAATAATTGTTTTTTGCATTTTTTTTTGAAAAAAAAAACTTTTTGATTATAAGAACTGAAAAATGTTGAGAGCAAAATACTTGTTAAAGCACAGTATTCAAATACCAATGAAAAATCTGTAAATTAAGTATGTGAGTACTGTTATCAAAGTATTTATCAAGCCGTAAGAATATTTTAATTAAAATCCATAATCTATTTCGCATTTTATGTTAAAAGATTGTTGTTTGCTAAAATTGATTAAAGGCTATTTAAAGAGCTTACTGTTGTTTTGATTAGAGTTTAATACATTGAAATTTAAAAATCTTCATATTTAGGAAGTCAAGCTATGAGTTAGACGTTATTTGACATAATAATTACTGGAAAGAATTCAAACATGTGGCTGACATTGGTTAGGTTTATTGGTTTTGTTAAATAATGTTTGAAATTATAAGAATTAATTTCAAATAAAGTTCAATTTCAATTAAAGTTAGTTTTGTATTTCAGTAACGGTTGTTGAATATACATTTGTGGAAGCAGTATGTGGTGCTAGTCGCGTCATGTTGCACTCAAATGCTATTGTTTTCTATTATTTGATATTTTATTCTATTACTAATAACTCAATAAGTACTACTCAACACTTCGCATTGATATTTAGTGCTGCCTTATTATTATATATCATTTATCTTTATGTGATAAGACCTACAAATCTTCAGGATCACATTTATACCTTTGTTTCTCTTGTTTGCTTTGGTTATATGTTAACACCAGTTATCAGGTTTTCTATTATTTGTTTTCAGTTTTAATTTTAGTTATACTGTTATTTTAGTTCATTTTGTGAATTTGCTCATATTTTTCAATTCCAAATAATTTTTACTTTAATATTCAACAAATGTTATTCTTTAATGTTTACATACAATTTTTGTAGAACTCTAACAGATACGATCAGTACAGACACTATATATGCAATGTCCATTATACTCTTTCTTATAAGCTTTATCTTTCATGATTATGCAATGGTCGCACCACTGTAAGTTATAATTTTTTCTTCATAGTTGTTAGGATGCAGTAAATTACTGTACTAATAATCAGTGCGTAAGAACCTAAACTTTCCTAATATTAGAAAAATAATACAATAAAATTTGGAGTTTGAGTTTTGTAATGAATAAAATTTAGTACTTGTGTCGAGTTTTTCATTTGTGGTTGATGAGATTCGCTCACTGATAGATAACGTTCAATTTAATTTCATCTCGTTATGAAAGTTTATCTTTAAAAAATATTACGTATAATTAAAAGATTGATTAATTTCTTGCAGGGTTTCAATGATTTTATCAGTGAATCTTTCGTTGGCAGCTTCAGTTTGTTTAGTCTCACGGGTACCTTCTAATGAATCAGCATTTAATCTTCTAGCACTTTCGGTTTTGCTTTTCTCATATTGGCCGGAAATGCGCAATATGTTGTATCGGAGATGGCCAAAATCATCATTATTCTTATTGCTCTCTTCATCACCAGTTTTATTTATCGCACTCAATCAAATTTCTCAGTCCCTCAGTGTTTTGTATATTTTTATGGTAATGTTTGTTGTACTGCTATG